GTTGGGGGGTCTCGGCTGCATGTCCGCAGTGGCCGTTTGCCGCGAAGTCTTCACGTTTGGATCTGTGCGCTGTGCCCGCGCCGTGATGGCGCTGCTGCCGCGGCGCTGGCGCGCTCCGGCGAGCGGGTGTGTTCCTGTCAACGGCGGCTGACCGGTGCCGGCCGACAGGACTGGGAGCACACGCAGTTCCTGCACGTGTACCAGGAGCAGCTGATCATCGGCCACGCCAGCCGACCCAAGGCGGGCCCGAGCAGCTGGTACCCGGCCGACCCCAGCTTCTCGGCCATCGTCGATCTCCACCAGACGGAGACGTTCTCCGAGCCCTTCTACATCGTGGTGATCGAGCGCGACACGCTGGGCACCATGATACACATGTGGAGGGTGGTGCTGTCTTCGCAGCCCCTGCAGGGTCAGTGTACGCTGTCGAGTTTGAGGCGGGCGGTTCACGTGTGCAGTGTGTGCCATCCCATGCAGGATGGGCGCAACGTGAACACTGCCTGTGCAATGCTGAGGATGTGGCGTAGAAATCGTATGTTTTTACATTCACCCACTTACCTGCTTGAGACATTTGCTTTGGAACGCTTAGCCGCAAAGGTCATGTACAATCTAGAGTTGCCAGCAATGAATTGGCCGACCAACACGGCGTGTAGCCATGGCAACCACGGCGCAGCTGCTGCCGTCCGTCGCAGGTCGCCAGGTTGTGACTGGCGTGTGTCGGACAGGCGACAACGGGCCCGTCGGATCTCCGGGGGACCAGCCCAGTCCCGTGCTGAAGCCGGTCTCCATCTCCACCGTCAAGGTAAGCCCGCCGCTGGCCGATCACTCGCTCGCCAGATCTACGCCGCCCAGTCCTGCGACCAGCCTGTGGAGCATTTCCTGTCGTCCCTCTCCACCCCGATGATCGTGGTATGGTAGATGCGGACTTCTTTGACGTAGAGTCGCACGCTTTGATGCCGACTGTCGCGTGCAACCGGAGTAAGCGGCACGCGCGTTGCACGCGACACTCGAAAGTAGCGGTGCATGCGACCGCGCACCCACTTGCGCTCTGTGATGATTCGAGCATGTGCAACAGTGTCCCTTGGTATCCGGTGCCGTACATGGCGGCCACCGCGCGCGTGTTATGCCGTTGTCAGGGTTAGAGCTGGCGCCTGGCTTTACCGCGAGGACCGCCGTCCCTCCGGCGTGAGGTCTGATGGTGATGGCTGCAGACCCCGCGTCGCCCGCTGCCGTGAAACACAGCGCCTGATGCCGCTCTGACACCTTGCCGTCTGTCGTCGATGTGGGAACTGTGGTGTCAGGTGTCTGTTAGCACTGTGAGAGCCGGCATCTGCTGCCGCTGTGAGACAGGGTGCCCCGTGGCCGTTACGAGAGTTGCTGTCTGCCACCGCTGTCGACGAGCCGTCGTCTGGCGTTGTCTGGCGGCCGCTGTGAGATGTGTGATAGCTGACGCGGCGCGGCAGGTGTGCACCCAGCGTCTGCCGCTGCCCGAGGGAGTGGAGGTGACGTGTGCCACGCCGGCGGCCGGCCACCTCAGCTCGGCCTCCATCTACCCGGCCTGCTTCGCCACCTACCACGTGGTGACGGCCTGCTCGGATAACACAGTCAGGTGAGGCTAAGCGGCCGCCCGGTTCTTAGGCTCCCACCCCGGTTCTTAGGCTCTCACCCCGGCTCACAGGCTCCCCACCCGGCTCACAGGCTCCTCCCCGGACCCAGGGGCTCCTCCCTTGCTCAGAGGCTCTTCCCCGGCTCGGAGGCTCCTCCGCAGACTCAGAGGCTCCTCCCCAGTTTCAGAAGTTTCTCTTCCGGCTGGGCGGATCCCTCCGTGGCCGAGGCTCTGCCCCGAGGCTCCGCCCCCCAACGGACACTCCCGTCTGACTTACTTCCCTCCCCCGACTGATCGCCGGCTGCCGTGTGATTGATGCCGGACAGTGAGTGCTCCCACAGCGCCATCCAGTGGTGGTGCCGTTGCGATGCCGGGCGAGCGTGCTGAGCCCGGCCGGCCTAGCTGACGTTCGGTCCTGTGCTCGGCAGATTTTGGAAGTGCCGCGTCACCGAGACCACGACGCCGGACGGCTCCGCCTCCAAGACGTACCAGTGGTGCGACTGGGAGATGATGAACTCGACCGGGCGCGGCTCGGCGCTGAAGCTGCCCGGTTAGTGGGCGGCATGGCTGGCGTGGCGGTGTGGGGTTGGCGCTCTCACCGGACCCGACCCTCACACGACCCGGCTGGGTCCGGCGCTCTCACCGGACCCGACCCTCACACGACCCAGCTGGGTCCGGTGCTCTCACCGGACCCGACCCTCACACGACCCAGCTGGGTCTGGCGCTCTCACCGGACCCGACCCTCACACGACCCGGCTGGGTCCGGCGCTCTCACCGGACCCGACCCTCACACGACCCAGCTGGGTCCGGTGCTCTCACCGGACCCGACCCTCACACGACCCAGCTGGGTCCGATGGTCTCACCGGACCCGACCCTCACACGACCCAGCTGGGTCCGGTGCTCTCACCGGACCCGACCCTCACACGACCCAGCTGGGTCCGGCGCTCTCACCGGACCCGACCCTCACACGACCCAGCTGGGTCCGGCGCTCTCACCGGACCCGACCCTCACACGACCCAGCTGGGTCCGGCGCTCTCAGTCGCTGTCCGCTGCGCCTCAACGGGGCGACTTCCGGTCATGGCGCCGGCGCGATTCGCACCGCCGCGGCACGATACACAGTGACACTGCTAGGGCTGCCTCTGTCGGCGGTCTGCGGCTCGGCCAGAGCTGGCCACGTGTCTGTTCCGGCTCAGCTGGAGCTGGCCGCGTGTCTCCCGGCTGGGCCAGAACTGGCCGCCTGTCTGTCCTGGCTCAGGTTGAGCTGGCCGCGTGTCTGTCCCGGCTCGGTCAGAGCTGGCCACGTGTCTGTCACGGCTCAGCTGGATCTGGCCCGCGTGCCTGTCACGGCTCAGCTGAAGCTGGCCGCGTGTCTGTCCCGGCTCGGCCGGAGCTGGCCGGCGTGTCTGTCCCGGTCCGGCCGGAGCTGGCCGCGTGTCTGACCCGGTTCGGCCGGAGCTGGCCACGTGTCTGTCACGGCTCAGCTGGGGCTGGCGCGTGCCTGTCACGGCTCAGCTGGAGCTGGCCGCGTGTCTGTCCCGGCTCGGCCGGAGCTGGCCGCGTGTCTGTCCTGGTCCGGCCGGAGCTGGCCGCGTGTCCGACCCGGTTCGGCGGGAGCTGGCCACGTGTCTGTCACGGCTCAGCTGGGGCTGGCGCGTGCCTGTCACGGCTCAGCTGGAGCTGGCCGCGTGTCTGTTCTGGCTCAGCTGGAGCTGGCCACGTGTCTGTCACGGCTCAGCTGAAGCCGGCCGCGTGTCTGTCCCGGTTCGGCCGGAGCTGGCCACGTGTCTGTCACGGCTCAGCTGGAGCTGGCCGCGTGTCTGTCCCGGTTCGGCCGGAGCTGGCCACGTGTCTGTCCCGGCTTAGCTAGACCTGGCCGCGTGTCTGTTCCGGCTCAGCTGGAGCTGGCCACGTGTCTGTTCTGGCTCAGCTGGAGCTGGCCACGTGTCTGTCCCGGCTCAGCTAGAGCTGGTCACGTGTCTGTCCCGGCTCAGCTGGAGCTGGCCACGTGTCTGTCCCGGCTCAGCTAGAGCTGGTCACGTGTCTGTCCCGGCTCAGCTGGAGCTGGCCACGTGTCTGTTCTGGCCTCAGGTGGAGCTGGTCACGTGTCTGTCCCGGCTCAGTGTGACCAGCGTCCTTGCTGCAGGCACACCGCTGACAGTCAGCGTGGCGTACAGCGCCCGCGTCTCCTGCGCGTACAAGATCGGCCGCTCGTTCACGCGCAAGGAGCACGAACGCGGCGCGCGCTTCGTCAACCTGGGCGTGGTCATCTACGAGTGCGAGTCCAGCGGCGGTGAGTGGAGCGGCTCCTGCACCGTCGATCAGCTGGCAGCTCAGCTGATTATCATCTGGCAGCTGTGGGGAAGGGGGATGAAGGGAGGCCTCAGAGGGTCCGGCTATGCCCCGCTTTGATGCCATATGGCCTGGCCTTTCCATGACAGCTGGGGTACGTCGCTATGGCTCATACTTAACTTAATCGGGGGCAATACGGAGAAGATAACGCACATGCACCCAGTACAATGCACCTTGTAGAGTCTCGCCCGTCGGTGTGCGGTGTCGCAGGCCACCCCGCTCTGTGCTGATCAGGCGGTTCTGTTCACTGCGGGCCACCCCGCTCTGTGCTGATCAGGCTGTCCTGTTCACCGCAGGCCACCCCGCTCTGTGCTGATCAGGCGGTCCCATTCCCCGCCGCCACGTCAGTGCCATGTCCTCCAGTCACGACACAGGCCATTGTGCATGCCGCGCCTGCCGCGTTGACGGACCTGGTACATCCCTCTGGCGGCAGGCTCCGAGTGGGTGAAGGAGGACACGATCACGCTCCACAACGTGCCGCTGCCGCGCCTCTACACGGCCGCAGACCCCAACAGCTCGCTGCTGGAGGCGTGCGGACACCGCTATGTGCTGCAGGGCTTCGGCCAGTCGCTGGCTGACGACGGCGACGAGCCGCGCCCACCCAAACGTGAGTCGGCCGGCTGGACACAGAGCTCGATCAGGCAAGAGACGGCGGACCGGACACAGGGCCCGACCAGGCGTGAGTCGATGGGCCGGACACAGGGCCGGACACAGAGCCCGACTAAGCGAGAGACGGCGAGCTGGACACAGAGCCTGACCAGGCGTGAGTCAGTGGACCGGACACAGAGGCTGACCATGCGTTAGTCAGTGGGCTGGACACAGAGCTTGACCATGCGTGAGTCAGTGGGCTGGACACAGGGCCGGACACAGCCCGACCAGGTTTGAGTCGACGGGCCGGACACAGATCGACTATGTGTGAGTCAATGGACCGGACACAGAGGCGCGAGTCAATTGGCTGAACATCTGGTGAGTCAATGGGCCGGGCACAGTGCCGAGCACAGTCAGGGCGCCGGACCGGGCGTGAGTCAGTGGGCCAGACATAGCTGGGCCTGGTAGTGGTGACAGAGTCAGTTTTGTGAACCCCGGCAGATGGGAGGGTGGCCAGTAACATGTGCTTCGTCGTTGCAGTCAGGCCAGGGGGACATGTGACGTGGACGACAAACCTTTCGCGATGTGGCGCCTTGATGATACGGCAATAGCCGTCGAAGCTGTGTGGTGTCGTGCTCTGTCCAAGGCCGGCTTGCGCGTATCTGTGTTGATGGTCGTGCTGAGCCCGGCTGTTGCCCGTTCGGCAGCGCCGGCCATGCGCACTGCGCCCAGCTTCATCAATGACAACACGGTCAAGTCGGCCATCGCCGAGGAGGGTAACATCCTGATGAGCGTGACGCACAAGCACCTGGTGCGCATCGACTGGGTGTCTTCGGAGGACGGCTCGCACATGCTGACGCTGGGCGTGGGCAGCAAGGTACGTCCGTCGGGCCGGACGGCCGGGCGAGGTCGCGCCGGCTACCAGCGGTCGGGCGGCTCCGAGCGGGGCCTCCAGCGGTGGTCAGGCGGGCCGGAGCGCCGCCCCGGACTGCTGCCTGTGGGCCTCCTGTGACGCTGGCGGGAGACTGTCTGGCATTCCGCTGGCCTGCTGCTCGGCTGGGCCGCGCTGTGGACGTGTTCGGGTGGGTTTGCGGCGTGCCTGCCGCTGCCGGCGCCGGATGCCGTCGAGACGCGGCGCCCGGGCGTCCAGAGGGCGGCGGCGCGAGGAAGCGTCGCTCGCTGCCCGCCTGCTGGACACGGCGCTAGCGGCGGCTGTTGGCAGCCGACTGGTAGTCACTGGCTGTGGCGATTCTGCAGATCCTGATGTTCACCCGAGTCTCCAGCGACATCACTGTAGCCAACATGAAGGCGATGAAGGAGAACCAGCAGACGTCGCGGCCGATGCTGCAGAAGGCCTCGTCCATCGCACTCTCCTCGTTCTCGCCCGATCAGATCAGGTCTGGCCCGCTCTGCAGCCGCAGATCTGTCCACAGATTACCTGTCCCGCTCCCCCCCCCCCCCCCCCCCCCCCCCCCGCCGCCGCAGTGGCGCGTTATTGCTCTGTCACGTTATTACGCGGCTTGCATCATAGTCTGGGAATGCAGCTGTAGAGTCTGTACCCTTGCCCTTTGAGGCTGATGCGGTGATGCCAATGGGCGGTTGAAAGTTGTATGTGTACTTAATGTGCTCAGATCGGTCTCACCTGGGTAGTCCGTGTTCCTGTGACTCTGAACCCTATCTGTGAGCCTTTATGAAGCCGTGGCGCTTGTCGGCGCGTGCCCGCTGGGGCCTCGACTCTGACCTGTGTCGCCGCGTGCCTGACTGTCATGCTTGGTGGGTAATCGTGCCTGTCGAGACGTACCTGTCCTGCTTCTGGTGCGTGCCTGCGCCCAGTACCCCGTCGGTGGTCGGGCTGTGTGCTCTGTTGTGCCTGCATGCGGTACGATGCCTCCATGACAAGTCGCAGTCTGTGTCTGCGCCTGCCTGTCTGTGCCACCGTACGCCGTGTGCGTCTGTCCCTGCGCCCACGTACCTCTGTCGGTGACTGTGGCGTGTATCGGTGCTTGTCTGCCCGTATCTCCGTGCCCCTGCGTCCCGTGCGTCTGGTGGTGACTGACTTGTGTCTGTGCACACCCGCCTGTGTGCCCCCGCGTGCCTGCCCCCCGCCAGCCGTGCCTCCGTACGTGGCCGCGGTGTGCGTCGACTCGCGCCCGCCCCGGCCTTGGACGCCGGCCTGAGTCCCGCTCTGGCCGCCAGGTGGATGAAGATCCGACAGATCAAGCTGGAGTCGGCCGATGGCTTGCCGCCGATTCCCATGCAGATGAGCTGGGTTCGCGACGGCGTGCTCATCGTCGGCATGGACAACGAGATGCACGTCTACAGCCAGTGGAAGATGCCGCGTCAGTGACCGCCACCGCGCTGCCCGCTCCCGCGCCGCACTGGCCAGACGGCGCCAACATAGCTCACTTAAGGCCCCAGGCTCAGGACAGATTGTAAAGTGAACTGTATTCGCGGAAATACCCCAAGCTGGGGTTTTACTGGGAGCGAGTGCTTTAGGTTTTGTTTATGTGCCTTGGTTTGTAATAAGCATGTTTCTTCCCTGGTCTTCGGCACATCTATTTGTTTGTGAGGATGTACTTTGGTCCCATCTGCTAACCCAGAACCCCAGGGACATATTTGCCAACTGTAGAGATGGAGACTGTGATGGTCTGCTATCTTCATTGATGACAAAAGTGCTAATGGCTATGAACAGAACTATGAAAATGAAATGTGGCTAATGAAATCGGTGGCTGTTACCCGTCACTGGCTAGGATTACCTGGGTCTTCCGTCCCTGCTTGCCTTCGCGTAGTTTCCAACGCAGCGAACGTGAAGTAAATCCGGCGTGCTGAGCGAGGTGCCGCTTCGTCCGACGTGTGTGTGTGTGTGTGTGCTTGGTGTTGTTTGAGCGGCGCCTCTCTGCGTGGCCAGCGCTGAGCCTGTCGCGCCGCTCTCGTGGGGAGCTGCAGCCGCTGACGGACGACTACGTGGAGTCGCGTAACCTCACCGACCAGCAGCTCTTCACGTACGCCTCGGTGAGTCGGCCGGCCGGAGGCAGGGCCGCGGACGGCTTGTGGCGGCGTGCTGCCCAGCCCGTCCGCTGCCAAGACCACTGGCCTGCGAATGCCAACGGGTCTTGTGTAGGGCCGTCCTTGCTGGTTCGGCTGTATATGTATGCCATATGCGGTATTACTTCAGCAGACAGCAAACGCTTAAAAGTAAGGACTTACTGACCGTGAATCGATCATGGTGTGGTGGGTGCGCAGTTGAGACTGCGCCAAGGCCTGAGAAGTGACTATGGCCAGCCGTCGCGTCCAGCCGCGCCGTCTGCGCCGCCAGCGGTGACCAGCGGCTCGGTGACCGCCGCCCGCCCGCCGCAGGACTCCATGAAGAAGCGCATCATGTCCGTGTCTTCGCTGGCCAACCTGGACCTGCTGAAGTCGCGGGCGATGGAGGCGGCGCGGCCGGCCGCCCAAGACTACATGCCCAACTACGGCCTGTTCGTGGCCAGCAGGATCGCATTCCCCGTGCTGCCACAGTACCACCCCAAACAGCTAATGGAGCTGCTCAACTGTGGCAAGGTCAAGCGTGTCAAGGCCATCCTGGCGCACATCGTGCGATACATTAGGTAGGTCGGCGGGGTTGGCCGTGGGGGGGGGGAAGGGGTCTGGCTTCGGTCTGGGCGGGAGGTATAACAGCTGCAAACCTCGTCAGAAGCATAGCTGTCCGTGAACGGTTGCCCTGCTGACGGTCCGGGCTCAGTTTTCGACGCCGACATATCCAGGTACTTCGCCCCCGCTCCACCATCTGCCTCCATCAAGAGTCTCAGACGAACTGGTCTGGTGTATGCATTACTTAGTCAACCTGGCATTTTTTAGACTTAGCCAAATGTGGTGGTGTTTTGGACTGGATATATGTGGCGTCGTCTGTCATCTCGTATCATTGTCATCTATATGCCGTCTGCGTGTACCGTCTGTATGCTGTCTGCGTGTGCCGCCTGTGTCGTCTGTATGCCGTCTGCGCGTGCCGCCCGTGTCGTCTGTATGCCGTCTGCGTGTGCCGCTTGTGTCGTCTGTATGCCGTCTGCGTGTGCCGCTTGTGTCGTCTGTATGCCGTCTGCGTGTGCCGCCCGTGTCGTCTGTATGCCGTCCGCGTGTGCCGCCCGTGTCGTCTGTATGCCGTCCGTGCGTGCCGCCCGTGTCGTCTGTATGCCGTCTGCGTGTGCCGCCCGTGTCGTCTGTATGCCGTCTGCGCGTGCCGCCCGTGTCGTCTGTATGCCGTCTGTGCGTGCCGCCCGTGTCGTCTGTGTGCCGTCTGCGTGTGACGGCCGCCACTCGCCGCCGCAGGAGTCTGTCGCGCCAGTCCCGGCTGGAGTCGGCCACCACTGACCCGGACCTGGATGACCCGGACGTGATCGAGAAGCTGGCTCGCAGCCGCGGCATGTCCGTCTCCCTGCAGCCAGGTGAGCGGCGCCCGGCGGCCCGCTCCCGGCGCTGCTCACGCGCCGGCGGCCGCTGGTCGGCTCCCGCCGGCGGCCGCTGGTCGGCACCCGGCGGTGGCCGCTGGTCGGCACCTGGCGGTGGCCGCTGGTTGGCTCCCGCCGGCGGCCGCTGGTCGGCACCCGGCGGTGGCCGCTGGTCGGCTCCCGCCGGCGGCCGCTGGTCGGCACCCGGCGGCTGCGGAGACAAGCCATTTGACCTCACGGCACACCACCAACGAGCAGACAGTCAGAGCTCATGATAACTCAGAGAAAGTTCCAGACTGTGCCCGTAACGGGAATCCCACCTGTGGCTGTATGTCTGTCTATAAAGTCACCTTAATGCCCCATTTAGCCTGTTTTCCATCTGTGTGTTTGGCGATGGTATCAGACCCTGACCGTGTGGGACTGTTGGCGCAGGGAGTCCGCTGGAGCGGCAGCAGACTGAGGACATCCGACCTGACTACGAGGAGATTGACTCGGTGCCTCCGCTGCCGCTGTGGATGCTGCTGGCGGCCGACCGCGACCGGCGCGGTGCGTCGTCGGCCCCCGGAATGGGGCAGGACGAGGAGGTGAGGCGTAGATTTTGGCAGGACGAGGTGATGCGAGGACGGGAGAGGACGGGGGCAGAGCGAGGAGGTGAGGCGCGGATTGGGGCAGAACAGGGAGGCAAGGCACGAAAGGGGGCTGGACGAGGAGGTGAGGCACATATTGGGACAGAACGGGGGTGGTAAGGGACGGACTGGGGGAGGATGGGGCAGGACGAGGAGGCGAGGCGCAGATTAGGGAAGGACGGGGAGGTAAGGGACGGACTGGTGTGGGATGTGGGCGGGACGAGGAGGTGAGGCCCTGATTGGGGCACAAGGGCGAGGCGAGTCACGGGGTGAAAAAATAAAGTGAAACGTGGGCTGCGGGAGGCCGAGGACTTGACACATTTTCAGTACAGCGTGACAAGAATCGAACGCTGCCCCGATTAGGTGAGGGGTGGAGGTGGACCGCACTTGTGCGTTCTCCGGAGGTCATCTTGACGTTGGTGTCACGCCCGCAAAGGCCGAGAGCATGCCCTTCCGCTGCAGTGTGGCCTGTACTCGTCAGATGTGCTCTGTCCGTGCTGTCCCGTGCCAGCCAGCACTGGTGTCCGCGCCGAGGCTGCAGCGCTGTACATAGCCGCCGCCGTGTCCGGCCCCGTTCGTCCGCCACGTCCGCCCCTTGCAGATGTACGACGACCTCTTCAAAGTGGACGAGGACGAGGCCACGCTCGAGGACATCATCGGGGCCTCTAGGAAGCGGCGCAAGTCGACCACCGCGCCGCAGGCCGAGGGACTCAGCCACTTTGGACCGCGAGAGGTACGTGCGCCGTCGCGCCCGGCGAGCGCGCCGGGGCACGTGACCTCCTCTCCCACCCGTCCCTGCGGCCGGCCGACTCGTGTCTGCCGGAGGAGAGCACCAGCTGGCGTGGTCTGCCGTACCGCCGCCTGCCGTATCGTCATGGGAGGGAAACAGCCCTTCTGAATACATTTGTTCGCGTCAGCTTCTGGTGTCGGAAAAGGCTTGCAGCCTCTTGACTTCGCTGTGTCTCGTGCGAACGGCGGTGTTTTTCCGCTCCTATGCTGCCGCTGGCGGGATATGTACGAGCCGTGTTGCCCACTTTCGCCGGTGTTTGCGCCGGTCCGGCTTCTACTGTCTCCCTGCTGTTTTTCTGCTGTCTCCCCGCATGTGCACTGTCTCCCTGTCTGTGTCCGCAGAGCTGTCCCCTGTTCCTGTCCACTGTCTCTCTGCCTATGTCCTACGTCCGCTGTTCCTTCCCGTGTCCGCTGTCCGTGTCCGCGTCCGCTGCCTCTGCTCGTGCCCGCTGTCCCACCCCGGTCTCGGTCGTCCGTGCCTGTGTCGGCTGCCGGCCCGGGCTGCGGGGTGCCGCCTCGACCTCGGGGTGCGGGGTGCCGTCTCGGCGGCCGACCCGGGGTGCAGGGTGCTGTCTCGACTGCCGGCCGCGGCGGCGCCAGTCCGTCAGACGCTGACCTCGGCGGTGTGTCCGGCAGTCCCGAATGCTGACCCAGCTGCTGACGCACTGCCACCTGCCCGACCTGACGTCCATTGACCAGCTGTACCTGATGGCGCTGGCTGACACGGTGGCCTCGGTCGACGCCGACCTGGCCGAGCGGTTCGATGACCTCTCCGACGACAGCGCCGGCGAGCCCAAGAACACCGGGCCCAGTCTGGGTAGGTCGGACGGGGCGCGTGCGTCGTGTGTGAGAGCGGCACGCCATAGTGAGACGGCGGAGCTGTCTGTGGGAGGCGGGTGTTCGTCTGGTCAGAGTGGCTGCACTTGGCCCGCGGTGAGATGTCGCTTTCGCAGTAGCTCGGCGTCCGGCGCGCCCGTTGTTGTGACCGCTGTCGGCTCGACCGCAGACTCGGTGGATGACTGCGGTCTGCGGTTCGTGCTGGCCATGCGGAACTTCACCTACCTGTCCAAGTGTCTGCCGCCGAAGGAGAAGGCCGAGCTGAACTCGGAGGGTCTGACGTGAGTGATGCCGGCCGCAGGTCGAGACGCTGCGCCTGCTGCCGTGCAGGGGCGCTCAGAGGGACAGAGAGACGTGTTCGGAATGTTCCCCGATCACACCGTAGTTGTGACAGCGCGATAGTCGTGACAGCCGGATAGCTGTGATTGTTGCGATGGTTGTAATAGCCGCGATAGTTGTGACAGCTGCGATAGTTGCGAGTCATCATTCGGTAGTAAGCGGTAAGCCGTCGCCAGAGGATTTGTGGTGGCGCTCCGTTTGCGTTGAGCCGTGTGCACACTGTGACACGCTGGCAGCTGGTGCCTGCCGTCACGGCCGGTAACGCCGCCGGGCCGCCGCCGCCAGCTCGTCGTACGTGGTGTGGGGCTTCCACTCGGAGAGCCAGGAGGAGTTGCTGCAGCTGGTGCCGTCGGTGGCGCGCGGCCAGCCGCTCTGGCGCGAGCTGCAGCAGCTGGGCTGCGGCTGGTGGATCCGGAGCAACACCCGCTCAAGCAGCTGGTCGAGCAGGTGAGCGCCGCCGAGCCGAGCCCGCTGGGAGCCGCACGCCGGCATACGTTGTGGCAACCCTGGTGAGCTGTGTCGGAATTGTGCTGCTGAAGATATGGATTGTGTGTGTTATCTTTCGCGTCAGCTGTTCGCAGCGAGGTGTAACTATGTTAAGCCTTTCATGCAATTGATCCAGCTGGTAATTGTGTGCAACCACAGCCATGGTGGGTCTGCCACGCTTATCTCTGCGTGTGTGTATGTATGTGTGTGTGTGTCAGCACGCCAGTTGCTGGCTGTGACGTTGGCCAACTGGCGTACTCCGTCTTCAGATTGCCAAGGCGGCCTACCAGAAGAGCAAGGACCCGATGGACGCGGCGCTCTACTACTTCGCCATGCGCAAGCGAACCGTGATCGCGGCGCTGTACAAGCAGCTGCGCGATGACAGGCGCTACAAGTTCTTCAGTAAGAACTTCAACTGCCAGGAGGGCCGGACGGCGGCCAAGAAGAACGCGTACCAGTGCCTGGGTAAGCAGAAGTTCGTGTCGGCGGCGGCGCTGTTCCTGCTGGCCGACTCGCTGTCCGACTGCATCGAGGTGATCCTGAGCAAGCTGCGCGACCTGCAGCTGGCCATGCTGGTCTGCCGGCTGTACGACGGCGAGCTGGACACCTGCCCGCCCAGCCTCGGCAATCTGCTGGACAAGGTGAATGCCTCCGCTGGACACGCGCGCCTGTGTCGGCCGGGGTCTGTGCCCGTCTTGAGTCGCCCTGTGAGGAAGAAGAGAGAGAGAGAGAGAGGAGAGAGAGAGAGAGAGAGAGAGAGAGAGAGAGAGAGAGAGAGAGAGAGAGAGAGAGAGCGAGAGAGAGAGAGGAGAGGGAGAGAGAGAGAGGAGAGAGAGAGAGGAGAGGGAGAGAGAGAGAGAGAGGAGAGAGGAGAGGAGAGAGGGAGGGAGGGAGGGAGGGGAGAGGGAGAGGGAGAGAGGGAGAGGGGAGGGGAGGGAGGGGAGAGGGAGAGGGAGAGGGAGAGGAGAGGGAGAGGGAGAGGGAGAGGGAGAGGGAGAGGGAGAGGGAGAGGGAGAGGGGAGAGGGAGAGGGAGAGGGAGAGGACGAGGGGAGGGAGAGGGAGAGGAGAGGAGAGGAGAGGGAGAGGGAGAGAGGGAGAGGGAGAGGAGAGGGAGAGGGAGAGGAGAGGGAGAGGGAGAGGGAGAGGGAGAGGGAGGAGAGAGAGGAGAGAGAGAGAGAGAGGAGGTTGCCCTGGGGCTGCTTGACCCAGTGGTGCCCCGACACATGAAGTTAGTGCGGCGGTTGTTTGCTGTTTAATTAGCCGTTTTACGACACAGGAAACTGGTGAACCGGTACAAGTAGCTCAACTCGCTCGGCGTTAATCTGCTGCCTGCAGTTTTGTGCGGCCGCTCACCACTGTGCTGCGTGTGTCGTGTGGTGCTAGTCGGCACTGACCCGAGGCTGCGTGGTGGCGTTGCAGGAGATCCTGGGCGTGACTGAGGAGGATGTGGATCTGACGGGCGCCCACCCGGACCCGTTCCTGCGCTCGATGGCGTACTGGATCAAGAAGGACTACTCGTCCAGTCTCAACACGCTGCTGAAGGTCAACGTGGGCACCCTGCACCCGGCCCCTACCAGGAGGATGGACGCCCAGACCTACTACGGCAGTGAGTGGGCGCATCGGCGCGGCGTGTCGTGCTACCATCATGGAGCCTGCTGGTTATGCGATGCTCTGGTCTTAGTCGTCGTCATCAAATCACGGTTGGCTGTGAAAAGCACCGCCCACGCGGGTCATTGACACAGCCAGTGAATGCGGCTGGTTGCATGATTGCTGCTTCGTTTGGTGGACAGTGGCAGGCGAAGCATTGACAGCCTCTCGCTCTGTCAAGGTGTTCAGTCACGGCCAGTGGCATGCGGGCAGGAGGGTAGTGGCAGAAGGGTGGCGAGCACTCGCCGACCAGACGTGGATCGCGTGCGGCTGCACAAGCTTGCGGTCACGGTCAGCGGCCGTCGGACTCGCTGGCTGACGTGTCGCTGGTGTTGATTCGACGCGCTGTTCGCCCCTTGCAGCCAGTCCGACCGTGTTCAACTTCTACGTCTACCTGCGCACGCACCCGCCTGATCGTGAAGCAGTACAAGGCGCAGGGGGCGATGAACCGGCGCCGCACGCGCACCCAGGACGTCGCCGACGACGACCTACAGGTGCGCCGACAGTCGGCCCCGCCGGGCCGCGTGGGCAGGGGTCATGAGGCGGCCGCCCTCTCATCCCGTGGCTATGTTGAGATTGACAGCGAGCCGCTCCGCTCCTTCGGTGGTGGGGTTGCGTACCCGCTGATGTGGCCCGTACGTTGCTGGCGGGACCGAAGTGAGCGGGCGCTGCCGTCCTTTCCCGACGGTGGATGTTGAGATTGCGGGGCGGGGCCACGGGAACGTGTGCGCGCCTGGTGCTTCGAGGCGTGCAGCTGTGGCGTGGGACGGCGTACATGGAACCAATGCCGGCCTGAGGCGCCCCCCCCCCCCCCCCACACACACAGCATGCCCGCCCGTCTGCTGACGCGCCGAACGTAACCCCGCCCCCCCGTCTGGGACCCAGTTCTTCCCACGTGGACGCCATCACACCGCTGGAGCGGCAGCTGTACTTCAGCACGGCGCATGCGCACTACCGCGCCGGCTGCCCACCTTGGCGCTTGAGGTGCTCTCCAAGCTGCCGAACAAAGTGCTGGAGAGCTGTCCGGAGGCCGAGAGTGAGTGGTGGCGGGACGGCCGCTCGTCCGCGGCCGTCAGTGGTGGAAGCCGCGAAGATGGGAACCGGAGCGGCGCGCTCCGGCCGGGTACCGCGCGACACGCCGACCCCCACGCGAGGGGGTGCCGTTGGGTGACTGGTGGTGACGCGCATGATGTTCGCCGGGTGCGGTTGTGCAACGTCTGGCCTCCGGTCTGGTGGCCGACTGTGTCCGTGACCTCCCGCGCGACCCCGTGATCCGTTACCCGCGCGATCTGACCTCCGTGACCCCATGTGACCCTCGCTGTTGCACAGGCGTGCCGAGGGTATATGCCTGGTCGGCCTGGATAGCGCGCCGCTCGCCCCGCTGTGCCGTGTCCCCGGGTGGTCTGTGTGGGCCGAGCGGGTCTCCCAGGCATGTCTGTAGTCGCAGTGTCCTGTTTTCCTAGGGACCAGCGACCGTCCCGCCGGCAGGAGCTGGCTGGCTGGCCGTCGTGCGTCCCGCTCGTCTTGCCGTTGCCCCGTCACTCTGTCTGTTCCGTGGCTCCTCCCCCCCCCCCCCCCCTCTTCCGCCCTCTCTGGGTCCCACGGGGGGCCTCCAAACTGGTTTGACGCCCACCTCTCCGCTCCGCGGTAAGGGTTGCCGTGACCCAGTCCGGTTGAAAGTCGGCTCCGAAGGACCGCCGCATCGCCACGGGCATCATCGGACTGGGGCAGCCACGGTATGGCACCTCTCCGCCGCGGACCTACCCTTCCACGCTCGCGCTCAGTTTTCGTTGATTTCGCCACCGACGCCGGAACGTGTGGTCGGCACGGCGTGCCAATGGTATCTGGTGCGCCCAGACAGTTTGTTGAGACGACCGTGTGTGATCAGCCGCTGAGTTTTTGCCTTCATGTCTTTTCTACGCAATTGGCCGTGGGGGAACGCCGACTCTTGGTCCACCAACTATGTCACTACCCACTGTCACGGTGGTGCCGTTGTAACGGAGTTCGCCTGTGTGGCGCCGCTGCCGCCGCCGCGTCCCGCCGATGGTCCGGTCGGCAGCCTGAACCGGCGCCGTCTCCGCAGAGTCGGCCTCGATGGAGCAGCTGTCGCTGCCGCTGGCGGCCGGCGTCGGGCCGGCGCCTCTCGAGTCGCCGCGTGCGCCGTCGCCCCGTTGCCGCAGTCTCTGGGGCCAGGACTTCGACTGGTCGACGCCTGTCAGCGCCCGGCTGGCGCCCGAGCCGTTGGAGCTAACTGGGAACGACGACAGGGGCCAGCGACACCAGCACCGACACGGCCCGCCGACGAGACCCAGATGGTGAGGCGGCCGACGCGGAATCGCCGCGTGGTCGGGAGCACAGGCGCTGAGCGCCCTCTACGTCCCACGTCATTTCCAGCATGTTTCTAGTTTTTGCTTCCTACGGAACAGAACACCTGTCAAGACAAGCATGCACATGCAGCCTCCCTCGGATCGCAGTTGGCTAGCTGTCGTGGTCTCACTGGGCCGATGCGTTAACAGACGCTGCGTCAGCGTCGCAGCCGGCAAAAGAAGCCACATGCTCTATTGCAGGTCTCCAGTCAGTTGGTTTGGTCGGGAGTGCGAGTGCATCCAGTCCAGCTCTCGGTGATACTACCGGGCTTCGCCTGCCACCCGTTGTGCCGGCCACGGCCCAGGCCCGCTGATCTCGCCGCCTCCCCCTCCGCTGCAGAAGTCCGGCCCGGGCCGGTGCCGAGCCTCCAGCGTCGGCCAGATGGACATCATGGCGCAGCAGCTCAAGTTCATCGCCTGTCTGCAGCTGATGATGGAGTAGCGCTACGAACCTGGCCAGCGGGCTGGGCGTGGACGGCGGCCAGTTGCGCTACCAGCTCTATCTCTGGCTGGAGCGCCCAGGTGGAGGCGCTCATCGAATCTGCAACTACGACGGCGGCACCGTCGATAGTACGTACTGGCGTGCCGGGGTCGCCGGCAGGAGCCGAGGAAGCCACCGTATGGGTGCCCTCACGTAAAGAAGGACGTGGGTGGGGAGCAAACAATCGTTACCTTGGCACGAGTTGGTTTCGGCGCACCGTTCCAAAGCACTGTGAAAGGGCTTTTGAACCGCAAAAGTGACATTGAGGAATCGTTACTTCAACCCGCTCAAGGGGAACAATGATCTGGGCAGGCCGACCATAGGCCAGAGATTTCCCACCGTACGACTGAGTAACCCAGGCCCAACCTTTTTTGCTTTCGAAATGATTTTGCGAAGGCCGAAGCTATTTTTGTGCCTTAACAGGTAAGAAATTTATTTTGTACATGAAGTGAAGGACCATTTTTGGGTCCAGACACAAAGTGTTATTTTAATTGAAAGTTCTGGCGTATGTATCTTAGGACTACGTGCGGTTGTCACAGTGACAGCCGCCTGCGTGACGTGCAGCAAGGTCGCCAGGGCGGCGTCCCAGGCAACCATGAGGTCAGTGTTCCACGTTTATATGTGGTTTTGAACTGGAATTGTCACCTTGAAGACCTTTTGACGCTGTTCACAATCCTGCCCATTTCAAGACCTAAGTCCACCTAAGCTGCTCTAGTTTCTGAGCTATACGCCCGCGAAAATAGGGAGAGTCTTTCAGGGACAGTATTTCAAAGTCGCGCTGGCATTTATGGCGTCATAATAGCTTTATTCAGATCTTGTCATTTCATAAGCCACGCGTTACGGCGATTGGCCCCATGCACGGGGTCTCAAGCCGCATATACAGACGGCTCGAAAACGGGGACAGGTGGGCTCTGCGTGTGTAAACGGCTAAGCCATTCCGTCACTTCCGTTGCCAAAAATGCCTCTGAATACACGTCCGAGTTCGTTGTCATAGACAAATAAGGTTCCTTATTTCATGGAGGCTGTTGATGACTGCGCACGTGATGCTCTGTTTCTTTGAGCACCTTATTGGCTCTGATAGCCTTTGCCTCGCCGTCCCCCATCATACAGGGCGTGTTTGGTTCGCCTGACAACGCCGGACCGTGCGGGGAAAGCTGCCGTTCTATGCTGGATGCTCAGCCACGTGGACATCGCGGGTAGCGAGCTGGTCGTCGCCGCGGCAAACGAGCAGCGCGCGCACCTTGCAGCCGCTCCCTGTCCCTGCTGGTCAGGCACTTTTACCCTACCATCATGGCATTTATGAAAAGAAAATGGTGACCTTTCTGCGGCACCACAGCAAACAGCAAGCTGTTGGTCAGGTCTGTGGCCTGTGCAGGTTGTTAGGCCGCAGCTGCAAGGCCTATACTGTTTAGTTATGGCCTACAGAAGCTGTTGGGCACAATTAGGCCTATGGCCGTCGAACTCGCGCGATGCGATACATGAAGAAGTAGTCCTTTGCGGGATACGAATCGGCCACCCGCATGCGATGCATGACATCTGTGCGGTGAAGAACGGCCTCACCGCCTTCACAGCGATGCGCCACGTACGGTTACGTCACATGACGTAGTGGTGTTCACATTTCAGCGAAAAACAGTCAGTATTTCGGACGGGATGCTCCAAGTCTTGCTTATTCAGACATGATTAGTGATGATTCTCAGGCTCTTGTCACGATTCAGCTGTTTTCATCGTCAAACAAATACAGGATGTTTAGCCATTACACACATCGGTAGTCACTGTTGTGGGCCCAAAGTGGTCTTGGTTGTCGGCGCCCCCCGAAAACCCCCAGTCGTCATTATCGTCATGTGGATAATAATGCAATTTGGTGTATTTCTGCTGCACGTAACCGACGTTTCGTACGCCGCGGGTGCGATTGGAAAGTCGACACGCGGCCGGTGAGGTATACCATGGGACTAATCAACGTTACTAGCAGTGCTCATCGTGGCGCGTGACCGTGGGCGCTTCCGGAAACGTCATGCATTTTCGGGATATGCCTCATAAATTATTTCACGTCTGATTTGATCATTACTGCCGGTTGTGTTGACTGTCAGCTTTTTTCATTATAAGCTGATTTCAAAATCCCCAAATCAGGAGCTGTAGGCAGTGAGAACCTTGCACCAATGATGCGTTTCCATCACGTTCAGTTCCGTTCTATCATAGAAAACCAATGTTATTTGGGGCAACTTGTGTGCTCAGCAATGTCAAAGCCAAGCATGATCGCGGTTTGAGTCCGCCGCCTGCAGTTCTGGTATTTTGGTACAGAGATTGTAATTGATAACATGATATCTCTTTGGGTCTCTTTCCTTCCTCCTAAGTAATTGCAGCGCTACATATGTTTGTGATGAGCGTTATGTTCGGATCGGACTGGACTAGCCAGCCGGCTGCACAGTACGGCGGCCTTGAGACTCGCTTAGCGTGGTTATTCCGGCTGGTTGTGTTCGCTGTGGCCAGCATCATCAGCGCCATCAGGGAATGAAGTGCTCAGCATTAGACATGTATTGTAAAAGAGCAAATATATGGTATAAACTCACAACCAGAACCACATACGTTATCTCGATGAATACTGTCCGTCAGGAGGCGCTCAGTGGAGCAGCTTGCTGAGCTCCAGTCCCAGCTTCTCGACGATCGCCTCCTCCAGCGCCTGCTTGGCCCGCTGCTGCACCTTGGCCTTGTTATCGCGCCACCACTCGTTGGACACCTTGCTGGCGTACTTGCTGGCCGGGTCGCCGATCAGCCGGTTGACGATGCCGCTCGCTCCGTGCGGTCGCACCTTGACGCGGATGCTGGGCAGGTCCACCACCACGTTGGTGTTCTCCGGCCACGGCGGTGACCCTTGCCGTCCGGACTGATCTCCAGCCGCAGCGTCGCGCTCAGCCGGGCCGTCGGGTTGTTGACGTGCACGTCCACATCGGCACTGACGGACGCACGCAGCTTCTTGCGCCAGATCTTCTTGGTGACCTTCACCCTGCCGTCCAGGTCGCCGCGCAGGTTCGGCCAGCTGTATGGTGGCCTTCGAGCGCCAGCTTAGTGCCGTGCGGCTCCGGGAAGCTGACCTGCAGATGCGGGATGGTGTAGCTGGAGAGGCCGCGGATGAAGATGTTGTTGAGCCACCACTCGTAGCGGCCATTCATGTCGTAGCGGTTGGGCAAGATGCAGCGGGTCGCTCTTCTGGCGCACCTTGTCGCTCAGGCCGAGCAGTGTCGTCCTGATGGCAAGTGCTGGAGAGCAGCGTCGTCTCCCAGGTCGCAGTTCAGCTCCTGGGCGGAGATGGTGGCCACGAGGGCCAACAACAGCAGCGCGCTCTTGCCACAGCCGACTCGCCATCTTGTCATGTCTCTTGCTGTTCAGTCAGCGGCAGTTGAATGGTTGGCACCGTCTGGGACCGGCCGCTTATAACTGGTGCCGCGCCCCTTGTACTGTAAACAGATGGTATGGGAGTCTCCGCGAGGCTGGCTAGCCGGGACGCCGCGGCAGAGACCGTGGAAACTCCGGCCGGCCGGAGCGTCATTCGTCGGGGATGTGGGCGCCAGGGTCTGGAGGCGTGCAGCCCCGTAGTAATTTTCCGACGTGACTCGGTCCAAGGGGGGGGGGGGGTGGTAACGAACCAGTGACAGAAAGGCCTCAGATTACGCGAACGCGCTGTCCTTTGAGCCCTATAGGTTTAAGAGCTTAAATGTTTCCGCGCTGAAATGGTGTGTGTGCTTGCTTCAATTAGGGGAGTCTGATACAAAAGATTAACACTTATGGTATATTTTTCATAATCCCACGGTTTCATGTGGAGTACATGGAACATGTGTATTTCAGTAGGAAACTTCTTGCGCCAAGTGGCTCAACTAAGCCAACGTAACATAAGTAACGCTCACTACCAGCTGCTCATAGCACCACTAATGTAAGATGAGTGTGGTAAGCAATAATAGCTCGCTACTTCCAAAGAGCCAGTTTACTTAGCTCAGACATGTGCCTGGTTTCTAGTGGTGGCTCCTAGTCCATCCTGGCCCCAATCGTACCTGTGGTATCTTGCCGTTGACGGTATCATTCGCCTGTAGAACCTTTCTGCTGGAACTTTTCGGAGTTTGTCGCATGCCTTGGCTGATGATCGGATTGACACAAGTCTCGTTACTAGATTGGTAACGGCCGCCAGCAGAGTCTGTTCGAATTGGTCAGAAGTGAATGTTCAGTGTGTCGGAGGTGCGTGGTACGGGCGTGATTCTGTCACGCCTTCCGGGACAGCGTATTTTAAGCATGCCCACCTGAGCTGGCGACTCTTGTATGCGACGATAGGTGGTCTCTCAATGGCGACTTCTGCAGGCGGCGATAGGGTCTCTCCGTGGCGACTTCTGTAGGCGGCGATGGGTGGTCTCTCCGTGGCGACTTCTGTAGGTGGCGATAGGTGGTCTCTCCGTGGCGACTTCTGTAGGCGGCGATGGGTGGTCTCTCCGTGGCGACTCTCTGTAGGCGGCGATAAATGGTCTCTCGTGGCGACTTCTGTAGGCGGCGATGGGTTGGTCTCTCCGTGGCGACTTCTGTAGGCGGCGATGGGTGGTCTCTTCGTGGCGACTTCTGTAGGCGGCGGTAGGTGGTCTCTTCGTGGCGACTTCTGTAGGCGGCGCGATGGGTGGTCTCTCGTGGCGACTTCTGTAGGCGGCGCCATAATATGGTTCTCTTCGTGGCGACTTCTGTAGGCGGCGATGGGGGGTCCTCCGTGGCGACTTCTGTAGGCGGCGATAAATGGTCTCTTCGTGGCGACTTCTGTAGGCGGCGATGGGTGGTCTCTCCGTGGCGACTTCTGTAGGCGGCGATGGGTGGTCTCTTCGTGGCGACTTCTGCAGGCGGCGATGGGTGGTCTCTCCGTGGCGACTTCTGTAGGCGGCGATGGGTGGTGTCTCCGTGGCGACTTCTGTAGGCGGCGATAAATGGTCTCTTCGTGGCGACTTCTGTAGGCGGCGATGGGTGGTGTCTCCGTGGCGACTTCTGTAGGCGGCGATAAATGGTCTCTCCGTGGCGACTTCTGCAGGCGGCGATGGGTGGTCCCTCGGTGGCGAGTTTTGCGTGGGGCGATTAGTGGTTTCTCTGCGTGCGACTGTCGTGTTCGGTGATAAGTGGTCTCCCGGTGGCGACCTCTGTACTTTCAGCAGTGTAGTCTTCTTAAACTCCTGACCATAAACTAAAGTGCATTTTATCGCGCGCGAGATGACTGGCCCCTGCACAATGGCCAGTAACACTGGTGGAAGGGAACGCCTCAGGTGGTGAAGATCGATCAGGACGCCGATGCGTTTTTTAACGTATCACTAGCGTGTATGTCCCAGCTCAGAGGCACCATAGCGCGCGGCTCTCCTAGCACCAGGGACAAAGAACCCGCGTAACATAGAATGTAGAACAGAACTATTCGAGCCGGCTGTTCCATGGCGTTTTGACTTTGCCACAGTGCCCCCAAACGCGACCCATATGAATCATCAGTGACGGCGACCATCTGCGCCACACTAGCCGGACAGTTACGTCATCGGCCTGCAGGGCAATACGGCGCGCTCGGTCTTGTTTGGAAAAACCGGCCTGGAAGTGCCCGCGGTGAACAGATGCGCTTCCTGCGGGAGTTGGGAATCTTGTTTGCAAGCTCGCATGCACCCGTTGCGACGGTTCAGCTGGAGTTTCTGTGTGTGTTCCGCTGCTGCCCCCCCCCCCCCCCCCGCCCTCACATGCCGGACTACGTACTCATGTTGTGGCATACTTGTATTCGCACTAATTTCACCTAATTTGCATGTCAGTGTCCATTCCTGTCATTGAATTTTACTCCTCATGTGTGAGATGCTGTCCAGAAATGTCAAGTTGCTCACCAGCTCTTCTCTCACAAGTTTCTCTGAATTTGCGGAGTGATCGCTGTCTTTGTGCCGACGCTTGGGGGCGTTGGCAACACGCGCTATGCCTTTGGGCTATGCTTCTCACCGCTTGTTTACGAGAACTGGTCTCAAATGTTATTTGTTCCTACGCGAAATGTGTCATGAATTTTGTGCTTGTTAGCTTGATGTTCATGTTTTTCCGCTGTCTCCAGCTGGATGCAGCTTTGGTATGTTGGTAAAGATATCGCGGCATATCTTTGGGTCCGCACTTATCGGTCATAGTTTTGCGGAAGGATTGAGATGAAGTATTAGCTTCACGGATTGCAAAGTTGTTTGAACTATCGTTCTCGCCTGGTGCGTTGGTGTGTACACAACGTCTCGGTCATTTAACTTTCCTGTCGTCGTCAGGTGTTATTGAGGCCGGAGAAGAGCTGGATTGTGTTTGGCTTTTAGTCACGTTTGCGTCAAAGCTGGAAAGCTCTCGTTTGGAACTCCTGGGACTTGGACCGGGGTGTTGCGGCTGCGAGTCCAGTGCTGTACCAACTGAGCTAACCGGGAATAATGTGTGTGCATACTAACGCACCAGAACAGGACGGTGTCCGAACGCTGACTTCATCCATGACGCTGGTGCCTTGCTCCAATCCGTCTGTAAATCTCAATGTCTCGTATCTTCAAGCATTCAGAGGTCTGAGGCAAGCAGGGTTGAAACATAAGTGGTAGGTAGGACAGTGAATGTTTCTAAAAAAAAAAAACAACCGAGAAAGCAAACAAACGACGACTTTTACTCTGTTCGAGAAAGAGGAGGCTTCATCTTTATGGAGTGAGAATTTGCCAGCAGACAACACCCGTCGCTTTTCTTCCCGATAGAGATCTGTTGACGCGGGCTGACATGTCATGCGAACTTCAACCATAACTCAATGAATATTCGCATCTAGAGGATTCCGATGTGACGGGCGGTCCGCCCGTCCGCTGATGTAGATGGCTCCGCACAAGGACAGCTGTTCGCTTCCGATACGGTTCAAGATACGACTGAATTTCTGAGGTCGCTGTGCGTGTGTCTGTTAGAACTGACTACCCGCTCACTGACACCTTTGTCCGGGAGACTGGAATCTTGCAACACCTTGCTTAGTTCACGACAGGTGTCGCAGCTGTTCCATTTGATGCACAAATGCTCAGGATGACGATGTTTTGTGGTTTAAGTACAATGTTTGTGTTCTGCTGTCAAGACCTGTTACACCAACAAATGGTGGTAACCTGCTGAAACTTGTACGTAGCACATTTAGCTTAATCAATCGGGCGAGCTCCGTTTTTTAGTTGATTGTGTCCACTGATCACTGTTAAGTCCACACATCACTGTTAAGATGTTGAGGTTGCCAAGTTGTAATGCGAGTCCAGTCGAAGATTATTGCCCCCCCCCCCCCCTCCGCCTCCATCTTCACTTGCACGAGACGTACGCGGAAAATACAGCGGCGCGAGAGCTCCGTATAGGCTTATTGTATTATGGTTTTGTCATCAAAGCTGACTGTAGGTGTTTTGAGCCGCTGGCCTGTGGTCATGAGTCAGCCACCGGACCGATTGGTGGGCACCTCTGTCTGGGCGTATGTTCTGTCGTGAGACTGTCACTGGGCGCGATCAGCGAGCCTTTGAGGTGGCCGAATACGCAGAATCGGCATTAGCTAGTCCAATGCTCAGCTGTCTTTGTATTTTATAGGCGTTACACGAGCGGAGTAGATTGGACTAGCTGCGCCACTTGTTCGAGTATAATTTTTAGACAATGCTAGGCGTTTTAAAGAATAATCAAAAGTGTTAGCGTGGATTATTTTGCTGACAATAGTAATCCGGCCTATTGGTTCTATATCTCACAGCTCTGGCTGAGTTCCAAAGGCTGCCGGGCTCACCCAACGTTTGATGCAAAACGCAGCCGTGTCAGTCGCTAGGTCTCACCGTAAAAGTCGAACCGTGTGACCGTTCAAACCGTACAAAACCGTGCAAAAGGGAGGGAATTTGAGAAGTTTGTAAGGTCAGTTCAGCTGCTGCTCGTCGTATGCGGCTGGGGCTTAAATGAGTTACTGAAGCGTATGTGTCGCGGCGTATCTTTGCCGGGGTCACTGCCAGCTTCAGTTACGTGCCTTATGTGTAAACGTTAGCGGTGTAAAGCTTCGTGCAACTTTTGGAATTTCTTTGTGCAACTTGTGAAACTTTTGTGTGTGACTTGCGGCATTCCTTTACGTCCGCCCAATTGGTTTGCTAAACGCAAGTTTAGTTTCCATTTGGTGCATTTGTGGGTGGAGCAACGAAAACAACAATTTATACATGTTCCCTAAATTGGGAATAAAGGGGCCCACGACAATGCCGTTTGGAAAAGTACCTAGCGGGCTGTGATCGGCTGCTGCCAATTCCTACCCCCCCCCCTCCCCCCCCCCCCGCCATTTTTTCAAGGTAGCAGACATGTAACATGGTATTGTCGTAAGCACAACAACTTAACCGCACTTGGCGTACTTATCCGTATGCATACAATACTGCCAACGCTTGCTGCGTATGGTCCGAAATAAGGGATAAATATCATCTTGATTACATCGAAAGTCGCAAAGCGGGTGGAAGGGGGCCACTGGAGACGTGTCTCTCGTGGGAACGTTTTAGCGCAGACCGAGTGACGTCACCTTCAGTCGTCCAGCAGCGCCATTAATGTCACGTTCAGGGGCATGCGCGCCGTTCGAGCCACCCACAGTCGACCTATCTCCACTCCCGCCTGCTTCGCACCATGTGAGCAAAAGCTGCTCGATGGTGGCCTGGCTCGAACACGTGTTTCAACGCATGAAAGGGGCTGGCTCATCGGCGCCTGCTGTTGTGGCGTTTGGATTTTCCACACACGCGGTGGTGTCTGGCAGTTCGGAACTCCCCACCGGACGGCTGCGCCTCTGGAACACCCCGCCGCACGTGGCAGCGCTGCCGGCGTCGACGGCCGTTCCCAGAAACTGGACCGGGCGCAGCACACGCCGCTGGTTGTTTACACATGGCGGCCCGATTTTCGGACGGACTTAAGCCGGTGTCGGCGGCCGGGAGGCAGCATTCGCCGACCGACAGCGTTGCGGTGCGGGACTTGGGAGTAATTGTAGCGCAATGGCGAGTCGGTGTGGCAAGAGCGCGCTGCTGCTGTTGGCCCTCGTGGCCACCATCTCCGCCCAGGATCTGAACTGCGACCTGGGAGACGACGCTGCTCTCAGCAATTGCATCAGGACGACACTGCTCGGCCTGAGCGACAAGGTGCGCCAGAAGAGCGACCCGCTGCATCTGCCCAACCGCTACGACAGGAATGGCCGCTACGAGTGGTGGCTCAACAACATCTTCATCCGCGGCCTCTCCAGCTACACCATCCCGCATCTGCAGGTCAGCTTCCCGGAGCCGCACGGCACTAAGCTGGCGCTCGAGGCCACCATCAGCTGGCCGAACCTGCGCGGCGACCTGGACGGCAGGGTGAAGGTCACCAAGAAGATCTGGCGCAAGAAGCTGCGTGCGTCCGTCAGTGCCGATGTGGACGTGCACGTCAACAACCCGACGGCCCGGCTGAGCGCGACGCTGCGGCTGGAGATCAGTCCGGACGGCAGGGTCACCGCCGTGCCGGAGAACACCAACGTGGTGGTGGACCTGCCCAGCATCCGCGTCAAGGTGCGACCGCACGGAGCGAGCGGCATCGTCAACCGGCTGATCGGCGACCCGGCCAGCAAGTACGCCAGCAAGGTGTCCAACGAGTGGTGGCGCGATAACAAGGCCAAGGTGCAGCAGCGGGCCAAGCAGGCGCTGGAGGAGGCGATCGTCGAGAAGCTGGGACTGGAGCTTAGCAAGCTGCTCCACTGAGCACCGACTCAGCCTGCTCGGGTTATGTCGTACCACATGACAGTGCTGTGATTGGTTGTGAACATTTTGATCCGTCTCTTTCGCAAATACATGCTTAGGCAGTTTGCATTTGTGTTCTGGATGCGATTTGAGGGAATGTACTCCCGCGCCTCGAGAATTTTATGCTATTCCAAGCGTGCGCTGAACGCTGGCCCAATCCGGGCCTGCAGAGCGCCCGGCCCGGTATGGTCCCGCTTCCGACGGCCCGTCCCTCCAGCAGCAGCGCAGGGCGCCACGGACAGCGGTCCGGTCCTGCGTGTCTAACGTCAGGTCTGGGCCGTTTCTCCAGACGCCGCCGGTGTGGTGCCGGGGACGGGGCTCGTCTGACCCGGTGCTGTCCTCTGTGGACGCCGCCGGTGTGGTGCCGGGGACGGGGCTCGTCTGACCCGGTGCTGTCCTCTGTGGATGCCGCCGGTGGGATGCCGGGGACGGGGCTCGTCTGACCCAGTGCTGTCCTCTGTGGATGCCGCCGGTGTGGTGCCGGGGACGGGGCTCGTCTGACCCGGTGCTGTCCTCTATAGGCGCCGCCGGTGTGGTGCCGGGGACGGGGCTCGTCTGACCCGGTGCTGTCCTCTATAGGCGCCGCCGGTGTGGTGCCGGGGACGGGGCTCGTCTGACCCGGTGCTGTCCTCTGTGGATGCCGCCGGTGGGGTGCCGGGGGCGGGGCTCGTCTGACCCGGTGCTGTCCTCTGTGGATGCCGCCGGTGGGGTGCCGGGGGCGGGGCTCGTCTGACCCGGTGCTGTCCTCTGTGGATGCCGCCGGTGTGGTGCCGGGGACGGGGCTCGTCTGACCCGGTGCTGTCCTCTATAGGCGCCGCCGGTGTGGTGCCGGGGACGGGGCTCGTCTGACCCGGTGCTGTCCTCTGTGGATGCCGCCGGTGGGATGCCGGGGACGGGGCTCGTCTGACCCGGTGCTGTCCTCTATAGCCGCCGCCGGTGTGGTGCCGGGGACGGGGCTCGTCTGACCCGGTGCTGTCCTCTATAGGCGCCGCCGGTGTGGTGCCGGGGACGGGGCTCGTCTGACCCGGTGCTGTCCTCTGTGGATGCCGCCGGTGGGGTGCCGGGGGCGGGGCTCGTCTGACCCGGTGCTGTCCTCTGTGGATGCCGCCGGTGTGGTGCCGGGGACGGGGCTCGTCTGACCCGGTGCTGTCTTCTGTGGATGCCGCCGGTGTGGTGCCGGGGGCGGGGCTCGTCTGACCCGGTGCTGTCCTCTGTAGGTGCGGCGCTGCCCGTGCCAGCCGACGAAGAGCAGCCGTCTCCGCCGCCCTGCTTCCCCGGCGACCGGCGGCCCACGCTGCATGACGTGCTGCTTACCGACAAAATGGACTTCGAGACGAAGCTGCAGCGCGCCACGAGGAGAAAGACATGGCTCAAAGGTGCGGCGGGCGGGCCACATTCCACGCAGTGTCGCTGACTGGCTCACGGCATGGTGTCAGGACTGCGCCAGACTTGGAGCAAAGTCTCAAGATACTGGCGTACCGGAAGCTCATGCGTGAACAAGCTGGTCGCGTCACAGTACTTGCCACCACCTTATCTGCTTGCGTTGACGTTGTGCAGTCCCGTCCATTCCCGTGACTGCACTGACCTTCAGCTGAGTATCCCGTGCTCTGTACGTGAGTGCTCTTGAAAGTCCGTTCAGGTGCGCCCGTGCTGGGCGCCGCTGTGTGCCCGGCGTCCGCTCGCCTGCCCCTCCGCCGGCCGCTGACCGGGTGCTTGCCGTGCTCATCTGCAGCGAACCAGGCGCTCCTGCGCACCCTGCTGAGCTACTGCAGCCTGCAGGGTGCCGGCGGCGGCGCGCTCGCCTCTGTCCGCATGGAGCTGATCCTGCTGCTGCAGGTCGGTGGACCGCGCCTCGTTGTCGGAGGCCGGCTTGGCGGCAGGACGGGCATTGTCTGTCTGCCGACCGAGACGGCTTCGGTTCGGATGATAAAAGGGTTCCACTGGCGAAGGTCTTGTGGGATGTGTTCGTAGACAGGGTGATCATCATGTCAGTATGGGGCCAGTCTACATGCAGCTCCGCTGACGCCCACTGTGGTATGACATGCTGTCGTGACCTGCCCACGGGGCCGGTGTCCCGCCCCCTCCCGCCTCGTGATTTCGTGACTTTCCCACGGCGCCGGTGTTCCCGCCCCCTCCCGCCTCGTGATTTCGTGACTTTCCCACGGCGCCGGTGTCCCTGCCCCCTCCCGCCTCATGATTTCGTGACCTGCCCACGGCGCCGATGTCCCCCCCCCCCCCTCCCCTCCATCTGCCGGTCCGTCTCCGCGCGTGCGTGTGTGGGTGTGTCCGCTGGCGTCTGTGTGAGCCGGCCGCCGCCGCCGCCGCCGCCGCAGGAGTTGCAGCAGGAGTCGAGCCGGCAGCAGCTGCTCAGCCCGCTGCCCTTCCCCACCATGATCCCGCTGCTGTCGGCCAGCGTGGCCAACAACAAGACGGTGGTGATGGACCCGGTGCGCCACCTGCAGTCTACCGCGCACGACCTGCTGCACGTGCTGGCCCAGCAGGTGGGTGGGGCGCCGCTGGTGAGAGCTGGCCCGCTCCCGGCCCGGCTCGGCGCCGCCGCCGGCCGCGGCCACCCGCTGCTCCGGCGGCCGGCCCGGTCACTCGACCAGCGGGCGCTGATGGTGGAATGGCCGGCGAGCTCAGTGAAGTCGCGAGAGATCGACAGCAGGGATGGGAGCGACTGTCGGGTCCTGTCTGTCGCGATTGTCGTCCACGGTCGGGTCATGGGCAGCGCGGCCGCGACTAACCTGACCATGCCGTGGGTGCGTTCCCGTTGCTGGCGTGGCGCTGCCGCTGTGCTGCTGCGCCGCCGGCCTGGCTGTGCTGCTGACAGAGCCTGTTGTGGTTGACGGTACCGTGTGGTCGGTCAGACGTCGCCGCCGTCGCCGAGCACGGTGGACGAGTCGGCTCTGGCCGTGCTCAAGAACACGGCCGTGGCGCTCTCCTCGTGCGTCTACCAGTCGCTCTGCGACTCGGACGCCTTCAAAGTCAAGCAGAAGGACGGGTGAGTGTCGCCGGGCCGACTCTAGGAGGCCGGCGGCGCCTGGTCTGTGGCGCCAAACCCCTGGGCGGACGTTGTGTCGGAGTTGTATCGGACGCCAGAGTCGTGCGACTTCGCCCCCTACTTTGAGTTGATGATATGCTGCCTCTTACGGCAAGAAGCTCCGTCGCGTGCGCACGGGAAGGGTGCCTTTGATGTTTTATCGGAGAACACGATGAGCGGCTATCATTAGTCTCAGTTGACCTGGTCATTTGACCGGCCGTTGCAGTGAGCCGCGTTGCCACGGGATCCTAAGCGCCACGTGATCCTGCTGTCTCCTCCGTCCTGTCTCGGGCCCCCCTGTGTAACGAATCAACTACCGCCCCCGTGCCCGCTCCCCCCCCCCCCCCCCCCCAACCGCCGACTGGGCAGGCACCCTGTCTCCCCCATCATGTCCCGGCGCCTCCTGTCTAAGTGGTCAGCTGCCCTGCCCCTCCCCTCCCCCCCCCCCCCGACCGCTGACTGGGCAGGTACCCTGTCTCCTCCATCATGTCCCGGCGCCTCCTGTCTAACTGGTCAGCTGCACTGCCCCTCCCCTCCCCCCCCCCCCCCCCGACCGCTGACTGGGCAGGTACCCTGTCCCCTCTATCCTGTCCCGGCGCCTCCTGTCTAACTGGCCAGCTGCCCTGTCCCCCCCCCCCCCATCGCTGACTGGGCAGCTGTTGCGCCTCCCTGTTCACTGACGAGATAGTTGCCACGGTGCCCGGCCTCAGTCTGGTCACGTGCCCGGCCTGCCCACCTCAGGCCGCTGGTCTGCTCCCCCCTCTGAGCCCGGACGGATCCTGTGCCGTACGTCCGTGTCTGGTCCTCGCCCTGCCCCGCTGACCGCCGCCCACCGATGCAGCATGGTCGGCTACAGCGTGGACGGCATCGTCGCCGTCACGTCCAGCCACCTGACGGCGGGCCTGGGCGTGCGCGGCCGCCGACTCAGCTCGGACGACCCACCCACCGTTACCTCACTGCCGGCCAAGTGGCCGGGCGTGACGTCGCTGCGCGCGCTGCTCTCGCGCGAGAAGGACGAGGACGGGCCGCAGCTGACCGTGCTGCTGGCGGAGGTGTTCGCCGCCGTCTACACCAGCCTGCTCATCACGGCCATCGCCTGCTGCGACGCCAGGGTCAGTCGGGCTCGCGTACCGCGCGTGAGATGAAGGTGGGGTCGGGCACGCACGGACGACCAAGACGGGGAATTCGTCGGACGACAGGAGTCTTTTGGACGGGGAATAGGCCATGCAATGATACCGTTGTTGACAGCAGACCGAGATCAAAGCCACTACGTTCGCCGGGAGGCGTTGGCCATGTGTGTCGGCTGAGAGTTGGGTGTGGTGTTGATGGCGGCCAGCGGTGTTGTGCGGGACTGAGAGCGGCGTGCGCCGCCGCCCGACTGACCCGCTCCTGCCGCCGCCAGCTGTTGTACCGGTTGGTGCGGCTGCGGGTCGACACGCGCTTCTGGTCGGCCGTGTTCGGAGGCGGCGTCCGCAAGCTGCTGCGGGTCGCCACCAACGTGGTGACGCCGTCGGTGAGTGGGCGGCAGCAGTGGCGGTCCGCCCCCCCCCCCCCCCCCCTGCCCTCCGGACAGGGATCGGCAGATGGAGCAGTCGTGTCACCAGTGTCCATGCATTGTTTCCCGCGCCAAGGAAGCTGACTTGTCCTTGAAAAGCTCAGGTGGTGTTGAGTGCGCTTTCACGTGCCATCAGGCCTGAGATCCCCCATTCGCGGTGCCATTTCTGTTAGTGTGTAAACGGCTGTGACGAGGACGGCGTGGCGGGATCGCAAGCCACGGCTCCAGTGACCTGCCGCCAGACGCCGCCCGTCGACATGTCCACACCCGTCGACTCTAGCCTGCTCTCGTCGCTCAACAAACAGCGCGCCAAGCTGAACATGAAGCTGCTGGGTCAGCTGGCTCCGGGCAGTCCGCCCACGCCGGGCGTCACGCCGCCCACGCGCGACGAACACCCCACCTACCGGGAGGTGTTCGTGCCGCCCGACACCTCGATCGTGCAGCTGGTGCTGGCCAAGGTGTGTGGGCTCGCTGCGGCGGCCGCTGCGAGCGGTCGCCGGTCCGCTCCGCCCATCGGAGGCGAGTCGGCCGTGGGCGTGGGGTGGAGCTTGGGGTGGCGGTGGCCAGGGGTGGAGTTCGACCAGTTCAGCTAGTTTTGGAGTAGCCATGAATGGACTGCACAGGGTTGACACGGGTGTTCCGATGGAGGGGCGCGTGTGGTGGCCCTCTGACCGCGGCGTCCTTCCGTGCCAGCCGCTCTCGGACACCTCGGGTCCGGCGCTGCGTCATGACGACACCGGCGACGACTCGGTGTTCGAGTACGACTCGGACGCAGAGTCTGTTCACGAGGACCAGGATGACTACGAGGAGGACGACGGCACCGGGTGAGCCGCCCTCGGATGTGGTCAGCAGGGCGGCGGCAGGCCGGCCATCCTGGTGCGCCTCGTGACCATGTCGCCAGGTAGATCGTTCTCAGAGGACGCTAAGGTGGACGGGGTCGAATGAGCCGCCCTCGGATGTGGTCAGCAGGGCGGCGGCAGGCCGGCCGTCCTGGGGCGCCTCGTGACCATGTCACCAGGTAGATCGTTCTCGGAGGACGCTGAGGTGGACGGGGTCGAATGAGCCGTCCTCGGAGGACTTCAAGAGGGTGGCGCCAGGGGAGCTGTCCGTGGAGGATCCTTTGGAGGATGGTGCCGATTGGCCCCTCTTCAGAGGACCACGAGCTCCAGCGGCCCGCGCCCGGATGCCTGTCGGAGAGAAGGGGGTACCATTTTTTTCTTCAGAAGGGAGAAAGGACGACGGCACAGCCGCGTCGGGCCGTTTTTCAATGATGTCCCCATCGCACGAGCGGTGTGTTGCCGTGCGCCGTCGTCCGGCCCATCCTCACCCCGGCGCTCGCTGTCCGGCAGCATGACTGAGGAGGCCAACATGGAACACTCGGACCCGGCCTCCTTCAGCTGGAAGCTGATGCGCTTCGCATGTATGAAGCTCTGCAAGCAGAAGATCACGCAGCTGCTGGCCGTTGCCGGCATTGAACAGCAGGGTGAGCTGGGAGGCGGCGGCGGCCATCGTCGCTGCCACGCCGAGACTCCAGTAGCCTGTGCGTAGAACGCTGTGTCTCACTGACGCCGTCTGGTGGTTGGGACTGCTTGTTGGTGCGCGCGTGTGTACGTGCGGCCGTTGTTGGCGGCGTGTCCAGTACTCGTCAGTGTGCGCACGGCTTGGCCTGGCCGGTCCGTGTGCGGCCGTTGTTGGCGGCGTGTCCAGTACTCGTCAGTGTGCGCACGGCTTGGCCTGGCCGGTCCGTGTGCGGCCGTTGTCGGCGGCGTGTCCAGTACTCGTCAGTGTGCGCACGGCTCGGCCTGGCCGGTCCGTGTGCGGCCGTTGTTGGCGGCGTGTCCAGTACTCGTCAGTGTGCGCACGGCTCGGCCTGGCCGGTCCGTGTGCGGCCGTTGTCGGCGGCGTGTCCAGTACTCGTCAGTGTGCGCACGGCTCGGCCTGGCCGGTCCGTGTGCGGCCGTTGTCGGCGGCGTGTTCAGTACTCGTCAGTGTGCGCACGGCTCGGCCTGGCCGGTCCGTGTGCGGCCGTTGGCGGCGTGTCCAGTACTCGTCAGTGTGCGCACGGCTCAGCCTGGCCGGTCCGTGTGCAGCGGGATGTCCGCGGCCGTCGCCTGACGCCGGCGCGTGTCGCCTGCCGTGCAGAGCTGCCGGTGGCCTCCCCGCTGGTGCACACCGTGCTCCGGCTCATGGACCGCTGGTCGGACGAGCTGGAGGCGGAGGTCAACTCCAGCCGGCCGCCGACCGACTACATCCCCAGCCTGAACGTGGACGAGACGGCGCGTGGGCCGCCCATTGTCAAGTACCGCGCCATGCTGCAGCCCTACAACACGCCGTTCGAGTCAGTGCTGGGAGGCTGCGGGCTGGCTCGGGATGACCAGATGCGGACGAGGCGCCTCCGCCGGCTCGGGATATGCGGCCGGCTGGGTCGGCGACGCGGGCCTGCTCCGCTGCAGATGGGGCTTTATTGGAGCCATCAGTGTTTAGCTCGCGAGGTCCTTGCCACATCGCGGTTTGGAGGTGGTCGTGAGGTGGCGCCATCGGTGCGTGTGTGTCGGCGCGGCTCCTGCAGCCGTTTCTGGCGTGTCTGCGGTGTCTGACGTGTCTGCTGTGTCTGCGGTGTCTGATGCGTCCGCGATGTCCGCGGTGTCTGACGTGTCTGCGCTGCTCTGCCAGCTCGGAGCAGCCGGGGGTGGGCGCCGTGAAGCGGCTGTGGCTAGTGCTGGCGAGGCAGGAGCCCGTGCAGGACACGTTTATCCGCGTGCTGTTCTCGCGGCGCGGCCCGCTCGGTCCCGGCCCCGGCCTGACCAGCGATAGCGAGCCAGAGCCGTCGTCAGACCCAATCAAGATCATTCACAAGGAGCAGGACGCCATCACCGCCTTCTGCATCAACCAGGTGGGGGCCGGCCACAGGGCGGTCACGTGACGAGCGAGGTGAGGCCGCTGGTTGGCCGTGCGGGGCTCCGGCCGCAGAGCCCCCGATGGCAGCGTCTCCGGCCGGCACTGAAGACGCGCTGCTGTCCTGGTCTGCTGCCCCGCTGCACCGGCGCTAGTCAGGCCCAGCCGGCAGCCAGACGCCGCGGCTGCACGGCGTTCCGCGCTCCGCGTCTGTCCGTCTGATAGACGCCGGCAGCGTATCGGCCCAGCAGCCCGCCGCGCTCGGCGGCCGACAGCGCGGAGGCTGGCCTGTGACGGACGCCGCGCCGCCTCCTGTCGCGCGGGGTGCCGGCTCGCGGGAGCTGACGTGGTGTGCCCTGCTGGCCGCAGGCAAACCCCAACCTGATGGTGATGGCCACGCAGAAGGAGATCCAGGAGCTGGACGTGGCGCTGCTGGTCAGCGGGCCCAACTGGCTCGAGTCAGAGACCGACTACGACTCGCTCAACCCCAACAGGTGGGTAGGAGACCGAATACGACTCGCTCAACCCCAACAGGTGGGTAGGAGACCGACTACGACTCGCTCAACCCCAACAGGTGGGTAGGAGACCGACTACGACTCGCTCAACCCCAACAGGTGGGTAGGAGACCGACTACGACTCGCTCAACCTCAACAGGTGGGTAGGAGACCGACTACGACTCGCTCAACCCCGACAGGTGGGTGGGAGACCGACTACGACTCGCTCCACCCCGACAGGTGGGCAGGTGACCGACTACGACTCGCTCCACCCCGACAGGTGGGCAGGTGACTGTCTGCGACTCGCCCACGGCCGCGCTCGTGGGATGCGTGATCACTGTCTATGCCCCAGCCCCTGCAGCGGTATGTTGCCTCGGTGCGCTGACTGTGTCCACCGGCCGTCGATGAGGCCGCACTTCGCCGACTGACGTCCCGTGTGGCCACACCGCGAGAGGTCTGACGCGCCGTCGCTGCGCCGGCCGGCAGGGACCCGGAGACGATGCCGTCCTCCAGCTACCTGGTGGTGCAGCTGCCGAGCGAGGCGGGCGGCAGCCTGCCGGGGCCGGGGCCGGGCGGCGCCGGCTACTCGGGTCCCGGCTCCGCGGCCAGCTCCCTGGTGCCCAGCCCTACCTACTCGCAGACGGGCCGCACCCCGGCCATGGTGAGTGACCGCCGCTGGTGCCGGCGCCCCGCTCGGCAGCGCTGGCGGCGGGGGCGAGACGAGGTGGGGAGAGCAGGGGATTGACGTCACTGCACCGCTGACTGTGTCGAGCGCTGCGATGCTGATCGTCACTGCGTGGCTAAGCCCGGGCCCTGTTGCGGGGTCCCCACAGCGACGCACCCCCGGCTGTCGTGGCGAGGTGACCTCAGAAGACTGGGTCACCGACCGGCCGCCGCTCGGTCTCGGTGTTCGTGCACTGGCTGGCCGGACATTGCTGCCATCGTTGTGTCGTTACACCGCGCAGATGCAGTGCCGGAGAGGGAACGGCGGCGTCCGGACGTGTTGAGCGCCTGCGTCTCGCCGCCGCACTCGTCGGCTCATAGCCGCCCACGTGGTCTGGGCGGTGGCCCTGTCTGTGCTGTGTGCCTCGGTAGCAATGTTCCGTGAAGTATTGCACACTGCCGCTGTGTTGCATTGCCGTGCTGGGCTCGGGCTGATCGCTGGGAGCTACTGCCGACACCTGTCCGTCTGTTTCAGGGCGGACGCGTCGGTCGAACGCAGGCAGGTCTCGTGTGCTCTGAGTGTCGTTTGTGGCTTGCTGCCGTCGTCTACCCCCCCCCCCCCCCCTGCCGGCCTCCCCGCGGTGCCGCCCGGCCCGACACGGGCCGCGGGTCAGCCCTGCCGCCCCCCGCCCCCCGCCCACCGTTCCGGCTGCACCCCCCCCCCCATCCCGTCCGTGTCCGGGTGCCCCCAGTCCCGGGTGGCTGACGGGTGGCTGGTGGTGGGCGCTGCGCGGCACCCATCTCCTGCTGTCAGGGACCGGCTAACTTTGTGGCGTGCTGCGGGCGGCTGGAGGACGGCGGCCGCGTGTGCGCGTGACTGTGGCTGGGTCTGGCTGGGGATATATCCACAATGAGCTTTCCGGGTGCCGGGTGAGAGCGGATTGATGTCAAGCATAGCCTGGCGTAAGTCATCCGAGCGCTCTTGTATACGAAGAGGCAACGCTAGCATTCTACCGCCGTTAAGATGAACACATACAGTTGTAATGAGCAGGTAATCAGAAAGTGACGCTCGTGCTTTGTTCTTCCGTCTTGTTGGTTCAAACATGGGATCAAAATGTCCTGTTAAGTGGTGGTGGCGGTAGCTGTCCTGGGGCCGTTCCATTGGGACGAATCCCGATGTCCGTTGGCCACATCGTTGGGGTCTGAGTTGTAGAGATTGTAACGGAGCCAGGCATGGGTAAGTTTAGATGTAACTTGCAATCATGTCATTAAGCGTTTTAAAGATGTTTTTCGTGATCTGGCGTAGTTTGCTGGGATCTCTTTAGGCCATGGTTGGCCACCTCACAGCTACCGGATGAAGGACATATGTAAGGTGCGGGCAGCACTGCTACGTTACTGGCCTTCACCGCTCCCGAGGCTCACTGGGTACGGAGGCGGTCACGCGTGGGGGCGAGGGCGGGTCCCCGGCCGGGCTTCCACCCACGGCCGCTGTGAGGCAGAATCACGGCTGCGGCCACGCGTGGGGGCGAGGGCGGGTCCCCGGCCGGGCTTCCACCCACGGCCGCTGTGAGGCAGAATCACGGCTGCTGTCGGCCGCAGCACACTCTCACGGCGGGGATGGGCCCTGCCAGGGTACAGGAGGCCGTGCACGGCGGCCAGGGAGTGGATGCTTGTTGCTTACTTTGCGGAATCAAGCGCCATGGTCGTGCGGCTGGCTTGACGGGCCTTAACCTCGCCATCTGTCGGGACATGTGACACTCGCTTGAAAACGCTTACATGTGCGCCGCCTTATGGTCATCTAGCAGTTGGTCTTAGTTTCTACCATTGCCGAACGTGCTGGCAGCTTAGTTAAAGGCATTCCTCGGCGCTTTATGACGCACTAAAATTGCTGTAGTGGTCTTCTGACTTTTTGTGAGTGACCACAGGGACAAAGTAGGAAGGAAGGTGCCAGGACGTTACCTACGGATACTCGGCGACGCTGTATTGTGTGTCAGCTGATTTGTGCCCACCTGTTCTAACGGCTGCCAGCGAGAGTCACAGTTAGGAGATAAGAAGTCACGAAAATCAGCTTTGACACATTTGCGGTTTTGTGTAAGTGTAACACGACACTTTTGGTTTTGTCGCTGAACCTCTTTGTACACGCACGCCTACCTGTTAGGGTGTTTGCCGTGAGTTGGGCGCAATTAGATTTGTCGTGGATGTTAACTGATGTCTCACCTGTCTTCTTTAAACACGCAATCAGCTGAAAGGATTGCATTTTCCTGGCTCTCAAAACGCCCATTTCTGCCGCGTTGTGTTGAAGCGCAGTCGGCACCTGCTGCAGCCGGTGAGACCCGTACCCGCTGTCGTCTGCCGGTGTCGGTGCTGTCGCACGGCCTCGCGCTGGTCCGCCGCCGCCACTGCTCTGTGACCGCTTCAGTGTGTAGACCTTCGCACGTGTTGATTTCCAGGCACGAATTTGGTTGCGTCGGCTTCTGTTTGATAGCTGACATGTGCACTTCATAGGTGGAAGTCATTTACATATGATGCGCATATGTTTTGTGATGATCGCAACTTCCGTTTGAGGCCCTTTCAGTTATCAGACTATTACCTTGTTTCGCTGCATGACGATAGTTCCGTTCGCACAGTCGTTACAGAGCTGCAGATGTAAAGAGGTACCTCCCCACTTGTTAGTTAAGAGCTTGGGGCCGACAAAAATATTTGTCACTGAAATGTCTAGAAAGTAGCGGCGGATTATTCCGCGTCATATTTGTTATGCCCTTTTGCGACATTTTCCATTCTACCTTATAATAGTTGCGGCATATTTTGTCTGTAGCTCGGGACCAGGAGCAGGCGAATAGCCACATGGTTGTTTGGGTCGAAAGGCATTTTGGAGCCGGAATGGTCTGCTGGTAAGAAGTAAATAGTTGGAGAGCCTTTTTTCATAGTTTCAACCTCTTGTTTGCTCGTGGCATCCGCGAAAGCCTCAGTGAATCGTGTACTTTTCAGCCGGGTGCATTCCGCAACGGAAAAGCGGCCTTGAAACACATTTGCCCTTCGGTGGTCCACGATGAGATCTGCGGTTATGCAGGTCCCTGGTTATCTTGTTTTCCAGAGCTCCAAACCTACCGTGTTGACCTGAGCTATGGCCAAAGGATGCGGATGTCAGCCATGAGTTTTGTCGGTCTCCTCGCTGTGGCACACGTACCGTTGTCCGTAATGGTGGCCAACATGTGTCAGTGGGAGACGTATCTCCGCTGTACGCACTGCCCGTATTATTTGCCGGCATAACAGTCGGTCGCACGTCGTATTGCGGCCTCGTTCGTTCCTGACTTGTTGGCGTTTTGCAATTTCTTTGTGTGGTCACAATATTTGCGTAAGCGAATGTTTGTATTTTGATGTGATGCATTCAGCCTTGGTAATTTCGCACTGTCGTTGGCCCATTCATTCGCTATGCTGACCACGCTGTTGTGCAGTTGGCGGACACTTTGTCTTGGTTTCTTGCCTTTGCATGCGGTCTACGAGGCCCTCCTCCGCATGGACTCCTCACAATCAGAATCGATGACAGCTGATAGATCGCCATGTGCATTTGACGACATAAACCCCACGCGGCAACCCCACGCAGCAACCTGTGCCATTTCTACCCGACACCCAGCCAGTATCTACCGTGTCAGTGACAACAGCTTAGTCGGCTGGGCCGGCAAGTGGTGCCTGCCGAGCCCGACATCTAGACTGGCACCAGTCGGTCGGACATCGGCCCTTTTGACCTGTCATCGGCCTCTCTGACCTGCCATCGTTCCCTATGGCCTGCCGTCGGCTCCTCTGACCTGCCATCGACCGCTCTGATCGGACATCGGCCCTTCTGACCTGCCATCGACCCCCTCTTGCAGATGCTGCGCCACAAGGTGGAGGGCGTGCGGAGACTGTGCGCCCACCCGAGCATGTCCGTCTGTAAGTACTGGATCGTCCCCTGCTGGTCTGCTGGTCAGCGGTGCGAAGCATCACCGTGCTGAAGCACGCCGAGCATCGACCGCGTGCTGTGGGATGCACGAGTGGCTGATGCGACGCCGGCTGGTCGACCGCGTGCTGTGCGATGCACGAGTGGCTGATGCGACGCCGGCTGATCGACTGCGGCTGTGTCGGTGTTTCCGCGTGTCCCCATCGATATGTGTGTGATGTTGATCGCTCCCCCGTCTGCTTGAGAGCAAGCCACCTGACCGGCACTGATGCTCCGACGTCCGTGCATCCCGGTCTGTGTGTGTGTACTGCATCCTGACCTTCCGGCCGTGTCCCTGTGGCCAGATCTGTCGGCCGTGTCCCTGTGGCCGGGTCTGCCGGCCGTGTCCCTGTGGGCGGATCTGTCGGCCGCGTCCCTGTGACCAGGTCTGTCCCGCCGTGTCCCTGTGGCCGGGTCTGTCGGCCGTGTCCCTGTGGCCAGATCTGTCGGCCGTGTCCCTGTGGCCGGGTCTGCCGGCGGTGTCTCTGTGGCCAGATCTGTCGGCCGTGTCCCTGTGGGCAGATCTGCCGGCCGTGTCCCTGTGGCCAGATCTGTCGGCCGCGTCACTGTGACCAGATCTGTCGGCCGCGTCCCCGTGGCCAGATCTGCCGGCCGTGTCCCTGTGGCCAGATCTGTCGGCCGCGTCCCTGTGGCCAGATCTGTCGGCCGCGTCACTGTGGCCGGTCTGTCGGCCGCGTCCCTGTGGCCGATCTGTCGGCCGTGTCCCTGTGGCCAGATCTGTCGGCCGTGTCCCTGTGGCCAGATCTGTCGGCCGTGTCCCTGTGGCTAGATCTGTCGGCCGCGTCCCTGTGGCCAGATCTGTCGGCCGCGTCCCTGTGGCCTGGTCTGTCGGCCGTGTCCCTGTGGCCAGATCTGTCGGCCGCGTCACTGTGACCAGATCTGTCGGCTGCGTCCCTGTGGCCGGGTCTGCCGGCGGCTGACGGCCGTCGCCGCCATTGCAGACATCACAGGCGCGCACGACGGCTCTGTGACGGTGCGAGAGTGGGGCGCCGATTGTCCGGTGGCCGTGCCCCGGCCCAGCGGCACCTACGCCAAGGTGAGCAGCCCCACGTACTGCCGGAGGCGTCCTGGTCCCGCCGGCGCCACACCCGCGTGTCGTGTGGACCGAGGCCGGCCGGCGTCCGGTGCAGAGCTCCTGACCCCGCACCGGGCTCAGGCCGTGTATGTTGCCGATAGTTGTTGATCGGGGTTGCGTCATGCTTCAGGCATGGAGTTGTGCGCTGATAATGATGCAGGCGCATGATCGCGAAGCGCAGTGTTCTAAACGTCTAGCGTATAAGCTGTTTTCCTATTTTTGTAGTCGGTGGGGTCTGGTGAACGGCTTTTGTCTCGGTAATGCCAATTAATTTTGAAACCTACTCAAAGTATCATTTGACGATGGTGCAGTACATTTTGTGTGCATGGGCTCCACGCCTGGCGCGGCGGGCATGGTCCGGCTCCCCGCCGCCAGCACAGCCGTGTGTGTGTGCGGCGCGGCGTCGGTCTGTGATCAGACGCCAGCACAGCCGTGTGTGTGCGGCGTCGGCCTGTGATCAGACGCCAGCACAGCTGTGTGCGGCGCGGCGTCGGTCTGTGATCAGACGCCAGCACCGCCGTGTGGGTGTGCGGCGCGGCTTCGGTCTGTGATCAGACGCCAGCACAGCCGTGTGTGTGCGGCGTCGGTCTGTGATCAGACGCCAGCACAGCCGTGTGTGTGCGGCGTCGGTCTGTGATCAGACGCCAGCACAGCTGTGTGCGGCGCGGCGTCGGTCTGTGATCAGACGCCAGCACAGCCGTGTGTGTGCGGCGCGGCGTCGGCCTGTGATCAGACGCCAGCACAGCCGTGTGTGTGCGGCGTCGATCTGTGATCAGACGCCAGCACAGCCGTGTGTGTTTGCGGCGCGGCGTCGGCCTGTGATCAGACGCCAGCACAGCCGTGTGTGTGCGGCGCGGCGTCGGTCTGTGATCAGACGCCAACGCAGCTGTGTGTGTGTGCGGCGCGGCGTCGGTCTGTGATCAGACGCCAGCACAGCCGTGTGTGTGTGCGGCGTGGCGTCGGCCTGTGGTCAGACGCCAGCACAGCCGCGTGTGTGCGGCGTCGGCCTGTGGTCAGACGCCAGCACAGCTGTGTGCGGCGCGGCGTCGGCCTGTGATCAGACACCAGCACAGCCGTGTATGTGCGGCGTCGGCCTGTGATCAGACGCCAGCACAGCTGTGTGCGGCGCGGCGTCGGCCTGTGATCAGACGCCAGCACAGCTGTGTGTGTACGGCGCGGCTTCGGTCTGTGATCAGACGCCAGCACAGCCGTGTGTGTGTGCGGCGTCGGCCTGTGGTCAGACGCCAGCACAGCCGTGTGTGTGTGCGGCGTCGGCCTGTGATCAGACGCCAGCACAGCCGTGTGCGGTGCGGCGTCGGCCTGTGATCAGACGCTAGCACAGCCGTGTGCGGTGTGGCGTCGACCTGTGATCAAACGCCAGCACAGCCGTGTGTGTACGGCGTCGGCCTGTGGTCAGACGCCAGCACAGCCGTGTGCGGCGCGGCGCCGGCCTGTGACCAGACGCCAGCTCTCGGCCGCGGCGACTGAGCTCTCTGACGTGCCGCAGGTCAACCGGGTGCGCTTCAATACGCAGGGAAACAAGTTCGGCGTGGCCGACAACGACGGCAACCTCAGCCTCTGGCAGATGAGCATGACTGCCCACCATGGCCGGCCCTTCTACGTGAGTGGCGGCCCTGCGCGCTGAGACCGCCGGGTGGGAGTCGCCCCGGTGACGGTCACCGAGTGACAGAGGCCGCCGGGTGGGGGTCGCCCCAGTGACGGTCACCGAGTGACAGAGGCTGCCGGGTGGGAGTCACCCCGGTGACGGTCACCGGGTGACCGAGGCCGCCGTTTGGGGCGTCTCTGGTGACGGTCACCGAGCGACAGAGGCCGCCGGGTGGGGGTCACCCCGGTGACGGTCACCGAGTGACCGAGGCCGCCGTTTGGGAGTCTCTCTGGTGACGGTCACCGAGTTACAGAGGCCGCCGGGTGGGAGCCTCTCTGGTGACGGTCACCGAGTTACAGAGGCCGCCGGGTGGGGGTCACCCCGGTGACGGTCACCGAGTTACAGAGGCCGCCGTTTGGGAGTCTCTGGTGACGGTCACCGAGTTACAGAGGCCGCCGGGTGGGAGCCTCTCTGGTGACGGTCACCGAGTTACAGAGGCCGCCGTTTGGGAGTCTCTGGTGACGGTCACCGAGTTACAGAGGCCGCCGGGTGGGAGTCTCTGGTGACGGTCACCGAGTTACAGAGGCCGCCGGGTGGGAGCCTCTCTGGTGACGGTCACCGAGTTACAGAGGCCGCCGGGTGGGAGTCTCTGGTGACGGTCACCGAGTTACAGAGGCCGCCGGGTGGGAGCCTCTCTGGTGACGGTCACCGAGTTACAGAGGCCGCCGGGTGGGGGTCGCCCTGGTGACGGTCACCGATCGATGGCGCCACGTCCTGTTAACTGCATGTCGATGCGTCGCACGTTCTGCGCCGCCTGTCGGTCTTCTTCTAGGAAGCATGTTTGAAAACTGGATGGATGTAGCCTGAAGCTACGATTTCGCTGTGCGTATTACACTTTCCTGAACGCTTGCTCGCCAGCTCAGGCTGATGTGGTGAATTTTGCAGTCCATGTTTTTTTTTCTAAACCAACTGTAGAATCACACGGTGTCCTCCCTCGGGATAAGTGTACAGATGCGGCATTTCGCAACTCGAAGTATCCGTGCACATTGTTGACCCTGATGCGTTGTTGTGATGCAAAGTGCGGGCGTCAATCGGTTCCAATGTGTAGCAGCATAAATGTCGGCAGAGCTAACATGCAGACGTCCGCCGTATGTTCGTTTGGAGCTCAGTGGTCGCGCTGCTCACGCGTGCCGGCCGCTGCCGCCAGACGCTCGACTGCCATAGTAAGGTGTGCAGTGACTTCGTGTTCGTCGGCTCCTCGTCACTGCTGGCCACGGCCGGCCTCAGCGCCGACAACAAGAACGTCTGCCTCTGGGACACGCTGCTGCCCAAGCGGAAGGCGCAGGTGGCCGGCTTCTGCTGCCACGAGTCGGGCGCCTCCACCCTGCTTTACTCGCCCATGCACCAGGTGCGCGGCCGACTCCAGGGCTGGCCGGAGACCGGCGGCGGCGCCAGCTGATTGATTGCCATTCCTATCGGTCATCGCGTGTTGGCTGATAGCCTTAGGATAATGACTACCGATGTCAATGACGTCGATCACAGTCAGTTCGTGATCATTACCATTATCGTAGCATGGTTTTCACATCATGTAACCTTTTCGCACAAAATTATGATCTTAATCGCACTCTGGCGCGGTATGGGGCATCTGTCGTCAGCAGCGTGCGGTGTCCGCACACCGGCCGTACGCTGGAAGTGCGGTCTGCATGCCGGCGGCTGTGACGCTCCGGCCGCACGCCGGAGGTGCGATCCACACACTCGTGGGTGTGACACCCCGGCTGACTGGCCGCCCGCCGCCGCCAGCTGCTCATCTCGGGTGGCAAGCGGGGCAGTGTGTGCATCTTCGATGTGCGGCGGCGTCAGGTGCGCCACCGCTTCTCGGCGCACGAGGCAGCCATCAAGTGCATGGCGCTCGATCCGGCCGAGGAGTACTTCGTCACCGGCAGCGACGAGGGCGACATCAAGGTACGGGGCGGCGCGGCGGCCGGCGCCTCCGCGCATCGGTCCGGGTCCAGGGCTGGGATCGGAGGCGGCGCGAGAATGCATGCCAGGGTTTCAGGTCGAGAACAGGCCGCGCGCTCGCCGGTGGTGCACGCGATGATTTCTCCGATGCAATACCGCACTCGGTGCCGCTGCGCCTGCGGGCCGCAGGCTGGCTGCGATCCTCCGCCAGTGCTGCCGCCTGTCGCTGGTGTGTGGAGTTGCCGTGACGGGCTCGGCGCGCTCACACCCCTCCCCTGCCGGCTAGGTGTGGGGTCTGACGGTGCGCGACGCCTTCTTCTCGTTCCCTGCCGAGCACGCACGCGGCGGCTTCTTCAAGAACGCCGGCCACGGCGTGACACAGCTGCACATCGACGGCGAGCACCGGCTGTATTCGTGCGGCGCCGACGGCTCGATGAAGCTGCGACTGGTGCCGCACCGCGACGCCGTCGTCCAGACCGTCTTCTGAGGCTGCGCTATGTGCTGGGGTCACCCCGTGGTCCAGTCCGCGCGCGCTGAACGGGCCGAGGACACGTGCTGGGGTCTTACTGCGGTCCGGTCTGGCTGATGATTGGCTGGTGTGGTCCTTGTACCGAGACGACCCTGTGACCCGGTCCGTGCGCTGAGACAATGGCCTGGTTCGCGTTCTGTACTGAGACCAGGTGCGTTCTTGTATCCAGAGTGCTCGTCTCGGAGACCAGCCAGCACGCGGTCAGATGGCTCGGGCTGCGTCAGGAGGCAGAAAGGGCCGCGAGAGTAATACATTCCAGACTGATGCCATCCTGCAGCGTGCACCAGACCCCGCGGCCGGCATGACGGCAGCGGCGGCCGCTCCCTGGCAGCAGAGAGCGGACGGAGGCCGGCGCAGGGGTCCGCAGCTTTGCCCCGCGCTGGGCGGCCGGCGCGTGTGGCGGCGGCGCGAGCGGACGCTCCGGTAGCGGGGTCGGACCGACGCGGCGCCGGCGGCGGGTGCACGGGTCACGCGACTGGCGCCCGGCGCCCGGCTCCCGAGCGGTGCCAGGCATTAATAACGCATGCGTTTATCGTGGTGTTGTGACATTAATTGGCGGCGTGCCAGCCGGCGCAATGCATGGATTAGGTCGTTCGGTGTGTTGACAGGCCCCCCGAGGGTTTTTCAAACAGGCCGTCTGTCACGTCCTCGGTGTGTCAGGTAGAGGTGAAGATAGGTCGGCCGCTCCAGTGTTGTCAGACGCGTCAACTAGCCGCTATCGCTCCATGTTGTTTGGCGTTTGGTTGTCTTTAAGTACATATTACTCGCTTCATGGTTGTATCGTATCAGCAGAAGGTTGACACGCCGCACCAGCGGGAGAATAACGCAGTGGTGATAACACAGTGTATGAGTTCTGGCCCAGTCACCTGGGCCCGTAATGTTATATACAGAAGGACACCGTTGTAGCTCCGAATTGTCTACATCGTTTACAAGACTTGTTTGTGTCTAGTACCTATATTGTCCAGCATTTTATGTGTCCTATAAGTCCAATAAATGTATGTTCCATTTCTTCGTGTGATATCTGAGCACCACCGCATTCTGAGCTCATTAACATCGCGAACGACCGAGGGCCAAGGGCTCCACACGCAGACCGAATCTGGTATATGCCGTGACATCGGAGGCTAAGTCGTCATCACAGGGCACGCGACGGTCAAGCCGAGCGATGGTGTCGTTCGCGCAGAAAGCCTCTTATCACGAGCTGTTCGGGACTCCGACCACGACAGACAAAGCTGATATAGCTAATAGGGCCCGGTATTTGGGCCGTTCCAGCAGCGGAACGGTTGCCAAAGAATTGCATGAGGCGCTGGCACGTCGCAACGAAATTCATGCAAATGTGTATTTACACCACAACGCAGACCGCGAACACGACAGGCTAACCGCGACGCGAGGCCGTCATCAAGCAGCCGGCGGCCGCCGCCCGGCGCGCCGCCAGCCGGGCGGCCGCCGCCGCTGCGTCTGTCTGAGGCTCAGTGACATCGCGCACCAGTGGCGACGTGCGCCACGCACAGCTGCTACGTATGCAGGTACTTAATGAACGTGGCGCGGAGAGTCCGGCTGTGACCGGCGCGCCGCTCCGGACCGCGCGCGGCCGCCACAGCGTTCACACGTGAGGGCAACATTGAGCGTCCGGCATCTGGGCGTTAGCGGGCATGCCCCCGCTTTCGCACCCGGTTGAGGCGTGGCTGCCGGCTCCACGCGGGGCGGGCACAAGGTCGCCAGTGGTCGTTCTCACTGGCGCGGCCGGGCCGTCTCCGGCGGCATGACGGCGCGGAAGTGTTGGTTGGCGGCCCCGCTGCCACCGCGGCCACGGCTGGCTGCACTCAGGCCTTGGCGGTGCCAGGCCGGGCGACGACGCCTCGCCGCGCGCATGGTGCATGCATACAACACCGAGCGAGCGGGACAGCCGGGGTGAGAGTGCGCCCGACTAACGTACGGCGGACAACTGACTGCCGATCTCACCGCCAGTGAGAGCGCGCTGGAACGTCGCTCGGCGGAGGTGCTGCGCTGTACACCATTGGCACAATGACGCGACTGCCACCGGCTGTCGCCCCGGCTGCTGGATCCCAAAGGGGCCGGAATAGCCTACCATCGACAGCTGGTGGTCCATGTAAGCGCGGCTCGAGTCGTAACGATATGGTGGGCGCCACTGTTGCTGACCTCGTGGAGTGGTCTGTTGTCCCAATTAACAGGGTTTCGTTCGCTGTTCTCACTGGGCCCAGCCCATTACTTGTCACATTCAGAGAACATTCCGTAGCGTTCTCAGAGGCAGTTGCACGAAGGTGGGATGCGTTCGTAAAGTGAGAGCGAAGATCCGCTAATAACATAACCGGCAACCGGCCACTTTTCTAATCACTGTTGGAGGCACGCGGAGGGGCAGCCAGCGCATGATGTAACGCACACAGAACGCCGGGCTGGCGGATCTGCGGTGTATGACCCGTCCGTGTCGTCCTTGAGCCACGCCCTCGCTGCGCCGACCACGCCCCGCCTGTCCGGCCGCCTAACGCCAGAGAGCTACGACCAGCGCTGCCTTCGCCTGCCTCCAGGCGGGCAGCTGTCAGAATGAGGCGAGACGTGACGATGGGCTGTGGACGCTTGCCCGGAGGGTACCGAGTTTTGTCCCCTCGACCTCCCTATCAGTGAAAACTTACAGTCCAAATGTCGCGCTATGGACTTTGATCTGTGAGAGTGACACCACTGCATGAAGGACTGCCACGTGCCCACTTGAGTCCTTCTGCCGCGGTCCATTCTGCTGCCTCTGGTCGCCGAGTGTTCAACACACGTGCTGCCGACTGGGATATCTCAGTACAGCAGCAGCCCTTGCGCCTCCGATCGTGCTGTCCTAGGCTCACCACTCGGAGGCCGAACGGCGCAGCGGTGGCGCAGTTCCACTGGCTGAGGCTCGCGTGTCCTCGCGTGGACCTGCGACTACCTCCAGCGAGACTAATGCGGGCGTCGCCGAGACGCGGGTCTGCGGCGTCGCGAGTTGGCGCGCGCTTGCAGTAGCTCCAGCAAAGGGTTCTTGTTCTGCGGCGGCGGCGACGGCGGCTCAGCAGGCTCTAGCGCAGCCTTGGAGGCCGGCTGGCCCGCGGGGGTGGCGGGGACCGGCAGTGAGGGCGTGCTGGTCGGCCGGGTGCCGCTCGCCGCCGCCGCCGGGCTGGGCTGAAGCGAAGCCTGCTCAACCGGCCCCTGGCGCGGCAACTCGCGCGCGTCGCGGCCAGGCGCGGCCGTCGGCTCGCCGCCGTACAGGGTGGTGACGCGGCCGGCGGTCACCACCACGGTCGGCGTCACCACCACAGTGTCCGTCTGCAGCCGCGTGGCTGTCAACACGTGCGTGACGGTGTGCACGTGCTCGACGGTGGTGGGCTGGTCGCCGCGCAGCGCCGCCACCGTCGACGTTCGGCTGAGGAAGATGGTGGTGATGATCGTGGAGGTAGTGACGCGCAGGCTGGTGCTGGGCGCCAGCAGGCTGGTGACGGCAGTCGGCGCCGACGGCTTCGGCGGCTTCGGCGGAGGCGGCGCGGCGTCGGCCGACTCCGGGAACTTGCGAGCCAGGTGGACGGTCGGGTCCTCCGGGTCGGCCAGGTCAGTCAGGATAGGAGTGGCGGCCAGGGGCGAGCCGACGGCCACCTGCGCCAGGGGCGGCCCGACCGGCAGACTCGGCTGAGCCGCTGGCCACGGCTGGCCCTGGTCCGGCGCTCCGGCCAGAGGCGCGCCCGGCACCGATCCAACGCCCGGCACCGGCACACCGCCCGCCACCGGTCCACCGCCCGGCACGGGCACACCGCCCGCCAACGGCACACCGCCCGGCACCTGTCCACCGCCCGCCACTGGTCCACCGCCCGGCACCGGCACGCCACCCGGCACCGGCACACCGCCCGGCACCGGTACACCGCCTGACATTGGCGCACCGCCCGGCTGTGTCGGGGCTGGTACGCTGTTTCGGATGTTGGCCATCAGACTGAGAAGACGAGCCGGATCGCCTTCGGAAACGCGCTGCAGCAGCCCGAGCATCGCCGCCTGGCCGGCCGTCGTGCTAATGAGGGTGGGCAGCGGGTCGGTGCCGCGCCGTCGGCGCAGCGCCAGCAGCGCGCCCGCCATCCGGTCCGACTGCTCATGCTGCTGCTGCGTCACTGCCTGGCCGCTCTGCGCCTGCACCAGGTAGTAGTAGAGCAGGTAGTTGAGCAGGGCCGGGTCCACGCAGCCGCCGCCGCCTGCCGGACACCAGCGACATGCGTCAGGGTATCCTGCGGGACTCGCGTCAATGTGTTTGGAGGTCGCGACGCCGCAACAGCTGACGCACACGTCGCGGGAGAGGCGTGCGACAACAGGTGTGCGCGGATCAAATTCGCAACTTTCTGACGTATGTGTAGCATCAGAGTTCGGTCGCAATAAGGGCTGCGGAAGACGTGGTGTCGTCGCCTTTGCCAGTCAGCTGGCATGGCTGCGTGCAGAACAACGGAGCCCAGTGCTGTTAATGACGAACTGTGTACCAGATGACCGTCTGAGCCATATGCAAACACAGGGGAGTGAGAGACATGGATTAAGGGAGTAAATCGACTTTGCTTTAACACTTAACGCTATGCATGCTCGCGGAACGACGATGCCGCTTATAACATGTTTAGAATAGGAATGGGAGCTGTTCTAATTATGTTAAGCATCCAGTTGTGTAAAAGAGCGGAAGTTATCATCACGATAGCGATCATGATGGGCAGACGGCCTTGTTTCTCCATACGGACGGATATTTATGTCCGATTAGACCAGCTAATGCATCTGGCCAACTCATCGCGATTCCATAGAGATACCACCACGTCTGCCGCTTTGGGGCGTCCGAAACAAGGTCACCTGACCCGAGAACGGTGCGGTGGCCCCACCGAAGCCCACGTGGTGACCTTCGTGGGACAAAAGTGACCATTCTGCTCCACCAGGTCCAGCGCTCGGGGCCACGCTGTGGCAATGGCTGAGGCCTATTGGGCGGTGGGGTCAGACACAGTTCAGTCACTCTGTCACTTCAAGGCCGATGAGGTACACGTCTCAATTATACCGCCGCCCACTTGCGCCGCTATGCGAGGGCTGCGGATGCAGATGTGTAGAAGGCACGCATCGACATTCAGGAATGTCAAGATATGTACTGCGTAACCACACGCGCTCACACAAAGGCATGATGAGAGACGGGGCCGCGCGAAGTCAGCTTGCCGCGAGCGTGTTTCTCCTGACACTGGGTTAACGTCGCGTCGTTATCCTGCCGCTGTGATACCGTCCCGTTTTTGGACTGACAGACCAAAGGGCAACTGGCCGCAGCGTGCGCCCCATAGACGGTGGCGGTCCTGGGCACGTGGAGGTACGTCTGAGAGGCCACAAGGAGAGGTTTCGATCTCATCTGGCCAGCTAGCAGGGGAACAAAGCACACTGATCTCGGCTTTGCAGCGTTAAGGAAACTCTACACGTTACAAACTCCGTCCTCCATGTGCAGGTCAGACCTGTAACATTCCTGAGCGAGAACCTGGACAGTTCAGAATGCGTGAAACGAAACAGCACTCCCAAAAGCACACCCTGTCACTGAGAGGCGCGGGCGGCCATCCCAATAGGCCATGACATTACCGGCACGTTCGTTGTTGTCTAGGTTAGCGTCGCACCAACGTACCGGGCCCCGGAGCCACCCTGCGGCGGGCAACGCCGCCCAGCTCTGGCCGAACGGCACCCCGCATTGTTGAGCTGCCGTCACCGCCTGGGATGCTGTCGAGGTCCGAGGTGCATTGCGGTTCCCGACCAGCTAAACCGGCTCACTGCAGGCGTACTCACTGCATGCCTGCAACGGCATCCGTAATTCGATGGCGAAAGCCGCCATCCAAGGCTGTCGCTTTGCTGGGCAATGAGCGGGTGATAGAATGCTGGCGGGTGGTCGCACGCGTCGTCCTTCAGCACAATACCGGTAAATTGAATCAGCCAATCTAGAAAAATGTGACAACCAATTTGAAATGCCATACGCAGCCTTGTTCCTCCTCAACGCAATGCGCCCATGCATGCCGTAGGACGCAGCAGTAGCAAGGCTGGGTAATCGGAACTTTACGCTTCGTGCCTATGCCGCGCAATAAAATGTTAAGTTGTATGCCAGGAAAGTTCATGAAGCTCTTGTTGAGCGCAAATTGATGTTCATATCTGATCTGAAACAACAGGCGGACACGGAACCTACGAACTTTTATTGTAGCAATAACGAAAATGATAGCTTTCCGATATCGTTATCAATTGGAGATCGGGCTAGTTAAGCCTTACGGGCTGGGCCATGTATCTATCGCCGCAGAGACGTGTGCAAGACTTTCCGCATCCTGCCTCGCGTTTCCCCTCGATGTCATACGATTCGAGAAAAAATCGCCTCGCATCTCTTCCACACCCAGCTGAGCTCGGACCCCGGTCACCGTCTCTCGTGTCCCGATCCACTGGAATTTGAAGCGTCCATGCCGGAGGAGGATATGCTAAGCTTTCTGTGCACGCCCCTACACCACGGTCCGCACCCGTTCTCGGCGAGATGATCGGTGTCGTCCCACCGCCGGTGCGCCCCTCCCCAGAGCCGCCCGGTTAACACACCATCCATCACCATCACCAACAGCACCAGTTGCCGATCCGCAGATTAGGCGCTGTGGCGTAATAACCGACGGAGTTTTCCAGACGGGGTTATTAAATGTGGCCGGCGCGGGCTCCCGACGCATGAGCTGCGGATGTGCCCAGCACCGGCCGACCGGTTCCACTCTGCTTGGCCGGCTTTGGTCACAAGTTCGCGAACGGGGCGCGAGATCACCAAGCCCGGATCGCAGGCCTGCACGGCGCACGCGCCATCTGCGCTGACAAGTCACTTGTTGAACTGGCGGGACATTGACGGCCTTACTGATATCGAAGTGCATGCTCGTACATCTATGTCTTCAACGGACTGTCACCGTGCCGATGTGTTGCACTGATGCCGGGCGAAGCACTGCCGCGGCATATCACATTGACTGCGGTTTTCCAGGTAGACCAGTGAGCGTCCCCAGTGCTCCCGCTGCGGTGATTCGCAGCATGCTCTGAATCACAGGGCGAGGCATCTCCGGCTCATTCAAAGAGATCCAACCAGAGGCAGACGTAAGGTTAGAGCGAACATAGTACGCGGCGTCAGCTGCACCGGAATAGGATGGCGCAAGTCCCAGGACGGTGTGGTACAAGTCCCAGGGCAAGGTGGTACAAGTCCCCGGGACAGGGTCATCCCGGATGGAATTCCCGTCGTCACGGGAAGATGCATCACTTAGATAGTCATGCCACTTAGAAGTCACTTAGAAGATAGTCATGGAACAGCGCAGGAAAATTGTTTCTCACAATAATCCAAATCAATCCATCACAACCAACTTGGTATGAATTATGACTTCAAACAAATGACAAAGCACGATGAAAACGGACCGAAATGTGACAAATCACATTTCTGAGCGCTGCTTCGTCGTGGAAAGCTCGCATAAACAGCTCCTACCTGAGCAGGGCACCTGCAGTCACGGGATGGGACACCGCCGGCTGCGGGAGTAACCAGCACCACCGTCCTTTCCCGCCCGAGCGCATTCGGGCCCGGGAACGGCGGCCTTTGGACTGGAGAGCGAGGACCGCTTGTCTCAGATCCGACAGGTTCAGGTTTGCCTGCCCCGGGACCGTGTTTCCCAGAAGCGGCAGTCGTCACAACGGTCTGCAGCTGTCCATAGTTGAGCTGTAGGACGGATGCAGTGTCGGTGTGGTGACAGACCCTCGACAGCTGGTGCCGGCTCTTCGGCCCCCGTCGTCAGACGAGTTCACATCCCCACCACCAGCACCACGTCACCACGTTGCCATGTGTAGTCGGGGTCAATATCCGGGCACTAGCGGACTCCAGCACTGGACCACGTGGCGGCCCGCATACCCAGCTGGCGCCGAACACTCCCCTGGACTCGAGCGGAGAGATAACTGCCAGGAGTCTAATCTATCGAACCCCGCTGTTAGGAGCTGTCATCTCCAGGCCACCCTGCAGTGGGCCCGAACCTCTGGCCACCGGGGCAGTGGGCGTGAATCCGTTCGCACTGCTGCCTCTGTTCATCCGGGTCACCGCGTGACGGACCGCTCGGTGTGGTCGGCCGGTCGGATTGGGCCGAGGATTGCAGCCGTGCTCGGTGCGAACGGTGAGCTCCCAGGGTCGCCGCCCGTGTCCGGCCCGGTGACACGCAGGTGGCCAGTCACATCCGGAGAGGTGAGCTCCCAGGCTCGCCGCCCGTGTCCGGCCCGGTGACACCCAGGTGGCCAGTCACATCCGGAGAGGTGAGCTCCCAGGCTCGCCGCCCGTGTCCGCGGCCCGGTGACACCCAGGTGGCCAGTCACATCCGGAGAGGTGAGCTCCCAGGTCGTCGTCCGTGTCCGGCCCGGTGACACGCAGGTGGCCAGTCACATTCGGAAAGGTGAGCTAACAGATCAGCGGACTCGTGTCCGGCCCGATGGCTCACAGATCAGCGGCCTTGTGTCCGGCCCGGTGACTTACAGATCAGCGGACTCGTGTCCGGCCCAGTGACCCACAGATCAGCGGACTCGTGTCCGGCCCGGTGACTCACAGATCAGCGGACTCGTGTCCAACCCGGTGACTCACAGATCAGCGGACTCGTGTCCAACCCGGTGACTCACAGATCAGCGGGCTCGTGTCCGGCCTGGTGAGCACCGGGCCACTCACCCGGAGAGCACCAGGACAGTGCTGTAAGGAGATGTTTTTATGCATGTAATTTTCGGGAGCTACCTCAATGCGATCCAAAAATGTTGAGTAAAACTACGCAATACTGTGCGCCTTTTCACTGATTCTATATCCGATCTGGCCCACTCCTCCATGGCAAGCCTCATTTCTAGTATACTTTTATCGGTGCATTGCATTTTGGCCCCATTGGACGTAAAATGTTGAGTACAGTACATCTGAAGTCATTTGCTAAGCTCACAACCCAGCATTGAAATATTCAATCCATTTCAACCATACTGGCTGGCCAGTGTTCAAGTCCCGGTCAATGTTCAGCCCAGTCGAAAGATTAACGACCCTAAGCTTTATGCATTCGCCACAAATCCGCAAATAGACACGAATGTATCGGATACCACGCAGAGCTGTTCTGTACAGACCGCGCTTGACAAACGCTTGGTCTGAGTACTTCAACCCATTATGGTCACACATGCTATACCGGTCAGTGCACGCAATGGC